AAATCACCATATCATGTGTGAATCTAGAGCTTCTGAATGAGGGAGAAGTCTAGGGTGTAATGGAAGATGGTTTTGACTCAGAGTCGACATTTTATGTCCTTTCTTCAGCATGGGGTTTTGGACACCAAGGAACCTGCTATAGAATCTTGTCCTGTGTGTCCACATTGTAGTCCTTGACTCTGAGGATGGAAGAGATCTGTTCCTCCCTAATGCCACAAAGTCAAACCTCCTCACCATTTTTGAGCAGAAAATCTCCTCTTCCTCTTCTCTATGAGACTATCCCTGAAAATAAATCAGGAAAATATGTTAGGCATATCTATTAGCAAAGGGTACCTTCAACACTATGATTAGATCTCCTGGTCACGACAATGTGAGAGCACTGCAAGCATGGGGGGGTCAATAAAAGTGTGTGGGGCACAAAGAACAGTAAGTGTTAGTTGAAGTCCAGCCATCATTCTCATTGTCTTGCTGACTCAGTGTTTCTGAAGCAGGTTCTTTGACAAGCTGTTTTGAACAAGACTTAGGTTTGTACCTGATGTGGGGACAAATTCTTTAGTAAATTCCAGAACATTGACTCTGTGCATAAACTGGTGTAAACATGCTGGTATTTTTGAAACTTTGTTAAGAGATAGGCAAATGGTAGGCCTAATTTTATAGGTTAAATAATATATTTTGCATCATCTTCTCATTTGTAGAGTTCTGGGAAAGTAACAAGAGATGTAAATTTGAAGAGATAGAGCTAAAATTTATTATTTTTTGATTCCTTTCTTTGCAATGTTTCTGTTTCTGTTATTAATCAAAATCTCCAGAGTAGATGACTTTTTTTTGTTTGTTTGTTTTTAATTTTTTTTTTCTATGACTGTTTATTTGTTGTGGTCTTTCATTTGTTCTAGTAATTCTTCCATCCCTAATAAAGGCATGAGTCTTTCTGGCACCCATCCTTTTCATTTGTCTGTGAACAATGAAAAAAAAAAGTTTAACTTCTATAAGCATTTTCTAATTACAGCAATGGAAAATCTAATTGGACTATAGTGACGTGATACACTTCACTCTGCATCTTCAGGCGTGTTTTTTTGAGAATGCTGCTTGAAAGTCTCTATGTTAGTGCTTCAACTAAGTATAAGCCAAGAATTAAATACCCTTTAATATCAGGTATTACTCAGGCAGCATGCAGAGTTTTGACTGAGAAAGAATTGTGCAGATTAAACAGTTTAGATGGTTCCCATAAATCACTTCAAGCTTCTCAGCCTTCTGAATTCATTAACAGAATATTCATGTGCAATATTACTGTGATATATATATATATATATGTGTGTGTTTTAGTAAAGATAAACATTGTTGTAACTTGAGCAAGTGTCATCCCAGACCAATGAGAAGGAGGATATGATTTCTTCAACATTGACTGGGAAAATTAAAGTTCAGTTAACATCTTCTTCCTTTTTGAGGTATCAAATCCCCTTCAAATATAATCTTTTCTTTTAACAGGCAAATATTGTAGCTGCTAGTTTGGATCTTGAACTATTTTGCTAGGTATTATGTTCTGGCATTGAAAAAATCTACATGTACCTAATGTTATTTATTATGCACAACTCTGTTTTCAAGGAGTCTTTGCAGACCAGAAATATCTGCTGTTATTCAGATATTGTTCTCTTCTCTTTGTGGTGCTAGGTATTGTTTTCTTGAATTTATCATAATTTTGTCAGCTTCCTAATTCATGTGGTATTAATTATACTTTTTTTCCCCATCACTTCTGAAACAAATTGTATCTAATTTCTAATACCTACACTAAGATCTCAAATGGCAGGCACCAGATTTTTAATAAATAAATGATTAATGATTCTCAGTGTGGAAGCCAAACCCTTGACTTAGGTGTGGCTGCAGCAGAAGCATCTTCTTTGCATGAAATGTTCCAACTTGACTGGTGTTTGGGATGTTTATGTGTGTTTTCATGGCAAGGCCCCAGCACACTTAAAAATCTGCCATAGATGACTCACATATTATGACAGAAGGTAGAGTCATTTTATGTTACTTAAAGGGCATTTAGTTTAATTTGTTCTTGATTATGCATAAAACTACTTAATAATGCTATGCAAATTGATATACAATAGATTTATAATACATTACAAATAACTTCTACAAAATTCATGTTTGCTCTATAGCCTTAAAAAAATGGCAATGTTTGCCATGATGGACAATGCTTTTAAATCTAGTGTTTGCTTCAACTATGACAATTAAATAAATATGTGTTAGAGGATACTCATCACAACTGCAATTTCAACAATTCTTTTGAGTTAGTTGACAGGTATCTCTGCAAGCTTAAAACATGTAAAAATGGCATTTATTTCTATTTAAAATTGCAAAAAATCTCCACTATTAAACAAAAGGAACAGTATGGCAATCAGTGATTTCCTGAGCCATGTTTTTTGGATGCACTTCTCCCAGGCTAAAAAATTTTTTTTACTGAGCTCTAGGAGGTAAACTCCTTTTCCTGTGGCTTTGCAAGATATCCCTGTACTACCTGTGAAAGGGTGATCTGCAGAGGGGGAGGCCCCAAGCCCTAGACAGCATCATCTTGCTGTGGCTCCTGCCAGGTGCTTTTGCATTCAAGTGATAATTCTTGTCTTTTCCCTTTCATAAACCATCAGCGGACTTGTTCTCAGCCAGCTGTGGAGCCTTCTGTCTGCTTTAAAAAGCCAAAGACATGCACTGTCAAGACAGGCATGAATTCCATCTTCTGTTATAGTTTCTTGTAGACTAAGACTTTAGATAAATATAGACCAGTTAACCCGGGCCAGTATACTATGTGCTAAGTGTATAATTAACTGAAAATGGCAGTATACATTGCAAATTTCCCTTTTTCTTAAAGGGAAACTGTAAGATAATCCAGTGCTGGTAGGAGTTGCAGGGATGGGAAAATATGTTTAAAAGGTGGGGAGGCATCTCACAGAGTAAGCTCTTCTTCATCTGGATAGTGAAGCCACAGCACTGATTTATTTTATAAAAATGATTTATTATGCAAGAGCAGTTGTTTTTATTGATTTAGTTACCTGTATCACAGTGAGAACAACGTTACCTCTTCTTCAACTAAATGAAGGCATTATTCTAAGGAGATTATTGTGTCAGTGTCTCTGCAGCTTGCAGCTTGTTTTCTGGGAAGAGTCAAGGCTTTTACAACATGTTCTTTCATGTTCTGAGAGTTGGCAATCGAACAGGCAGTGCAAGTGATTATTCTTGGGACATTTTTATCAAATGTGAAACAAATGTAAAGAAGGCAGGAAGAAAAAAATGACCTAAGCAACAGCGTTACGTTTACAAAAACCTGATTCTCTTGTCAAAACTGCTGTTAAAGCAATCTTTATTGCTCATACCATCTCCATTATTGTGGCTGAAACAGGAGATGGGGGTGCTCAGTTTTCTTTTCTAGTATTGTCTTTTATTTTTCATGGATTGTCTGTGCTGCTGAGAGCAAGGGCTGATATTGGTTTCATTGCATTGTTTTTGTTGCACTGAAATTCAGAGAACAGCATGAGCTTGATCCTGCTCCCACTGAGCATATTGGAAGTGGAAAGTCCCCCTGCCTTAGGGGGATTATATTGCACCGCTTACATTTTGTTATTATTAAATGTTCTTTCAAGGCATAATGGGTGCAGTGTTATTATCTGTCTTGTAGACTTCTCTTTAAAGAAGCACAAGGAACACAGTGATTCTAAATGACTGAAAAGAAATAGATTTTTATTTACAGAGCCCTTGTAGTTAGTTCAAAGAAAAGATTATACTGAGTTTCCCAAAGTTAATACCATTTTGTTATCAAGGGAATTTGGGGTACTGCCACATGAAATGTTAACATTAATTTTGAACAATGGTATTGAGCATATTTCTATCTGTTGCAATTATTTAAAACTTCTACTTGGTAAAACTAAGGAATTATTTTCTCTAGAAACAAAAATGAGAAAATTTAAGAACTGAATTGTTTGCTGAAAGTTGTATGCCAATTTTTTTTATTTTGTTATTTTGTTTTAGGTTTTTTCATGGTGAGTCTGGTTTTCAGTAGTGTAGGATTTCAGTAGCAAAGTTTTCAGACCCTTGTGGCTCTAGTTGACTTCAGTGAGATGAACTTTTTCTCAGCGTGTTTGAAAATCTCTTATTGCTTTTTGGTGGATGGCTGTGAGAATTCCAAATGCTGACAGAGGCAAGGAGTAACGCACTGAGAATCACAAGATCTAAAACTCAGCTCCTACATACCAAATTTAAAGGATAATATTAGTTTTGACGTTTTACATTTATTTAAAACATTCAAGTGGTGATGCTGGTACATGATTGTTATGGGATAATACTTATGGGCCTGAAAAATATTTATAGGCAAGATTGGCTTAAGACTATTATTCCATTAAAGCAAGCGTATTGTGGCTGGAAATGGAGTTTAGCAGGATGAAGGTGTGGAGATTTAAGAGTGTGGGGGTGAGAGTTACCTGTAAGAGAACTGACACCAATGTATATCTGAAAGCAAGGCTTCAATGCATTTGAAGAAGCTCATCAGAAAATATTAAAGTGATGTCTTTGTGACTAAACTTTGTTACTGTGTGGCTTCTGGCACATACTGAAGAATTTGGTGCAGAATGACTGAAAACTTGTGAAAGCAGTAGAAAGTAGCTCCCTCCTGTAAAACAGAAAAGTGAATTTAATCCTCTCAAGGGCAGTGGAAAGGACGAGGTGTTGAAATACAATGTCAATGCACATGGATAAATATGCATAAGAAAACTGAGGTGTATAAGGGATGGCTGGAAACGAGCTTGTACATGAAGAACTGAATGTTGTAATTTTCTGCTGCTTGCGTTTCTCAGTTAGCAGCGATCTCAGCTTATTCACCCGATTTTAGTGAAATCCTTTTATGATGGAAACTCCTTTGTGTCTGTCCATGCTCATGGTTTAATTTACCACTACAGCAGTAATTTAAAACTAGTAAGGAGTTGTAATCAAGTGTTGCTGTTTTTATTTGACAGGCCGGACCTGATAGACATGAATACCGTTGCTGTTCAAAGCAACCTCGCAAATTTAGAACATGCATTTTTTGTAGCAGAAAAACTTGGTGTTGCTAGACTTCTGGATCCTGAAGGTAAGAGAGCTTTGTTGCAAAACCCCCAACACTAAAATAAAATCCAACCTGCCTGCAGGCTGTAGCACATTTGTAGGCATTCTTACAACTATGTGATAAAGCACTGTTCTGTCTTGCTTTTAGATGTCGATGTTTCCTCACCTGATGAGAAGTCAGTAATAACTTATGTGTCATCACTTTATGATGCATTTCCCAAAGTACCAGAAGGTGGTGAAGGCATCAGTGCAAATGTAAGTAGGAAAACAACACTTGTGCAGTGTACGAACTACATTAATAAAATTATGAATTTCAGATCCAGAATGTTAGCTAGATCTTCCATAGGACCTCTGTCACACTTTTTTTGACATGGTTTTTCTAGGCTGAGATTTTAGAGTCTTAGCTATTTTATGTCATGGACATGAAAATATTTGTGCAAAGAGCTTAACTGAAAAAAAAGTGCCTGAAGCTGGTGAAAGATCGAGTCAAAGTTCTTACTTTGCAGTTGTAAATGTACAAATTATGCCTTTCTGATTCTTACCAGCTTGCAATTTATTAATCTAGAAAATATTTTGTTTTCAGTAGAATTATTCGGGATCAAAACTGAAGACTGAAATATATTTGGAAACTATAACTGATCTTTAAAGAGCAAATAAATATTGTCTCAGAATTACAGGGTTTCAAAATCCATTTTCTATGTGTTTGAAGACTTCGGTCTTCAAAGCTGAAGCAAAAATGAGTTCTTGATGATTTTCATCTCTTCTGGAATCTGTGTTTTGCTTTGGCAGGATGTTGAAGTCAAATGGGTTGAATATCAGAATATGGTGAACTACCTCATGCAGTGGATCAGACACCATGTCGCGATAATGTCTGACAGAACATTTCCCAATAATCCTGTGGAATTGAAGGTGAGGTGTGGTGACTTAGATTGCTTGTTGGAATTACACTTTATCTTATTGACTCAAAGCCTACTTGAACAAATGACATGCTTATTAATTTATACAGTCAAGTCAACAGTACTACTCCTTAACCTTTTCAAAGTATAATCAATACATTGCTAGCATATGAACAATCAAAAGCAAATCTTTACCTTGTCACTGATTGGTTTTTGTAGAACTCTAGTTGAATAGTATAAAGGTAAGCTTGTGAAGAATATTAGAAAAGGGTTTGAAGACTAAGGCTATATTCACTGTAAATAAAACTTGATGTTATTTTTCATGTTTCCGTAGGCACTTTATAATCAATATTTACAGTTTAAAGAAACAGAAATTCCGCCGAAGGAGATAGATAAATCGAAAATTAAACATCTATATAAACTGCTGGAGGTAAGTTTTAACATTCATTGAAATGTATAGAAATTGCTTTTCTGTGGCCTAAAATAACAAGTGCATATGAATTTTTAAGGTCTGGATAGAATTTGGACGCATTAAACTCTCTCAAGGCTACCATCCAAATGATATAGAAAAAGAATGGGGAAAGCTGATTATTGCCATGCTGGAAAGAGAGAAGACCCTTCGGCCTGAAGTGGAGAGGTATGCTTGTGAATATTTGACAGACTTTGTTAATGTATTTTCTGTTGTTTTAACCCATATTGAAATTTGTAAATATCTTCTTCCATGATAATGTATATATTATTTTTCTAGATCAAGCATTTCTGCCTTTGTTCAAGGTCTGAAATTCTCCACCTGCCTAGAGGCAGGTCCTGACATAAACAACTTTGGTGGACTCAGAAGGTTGTGATGAGCAGCATCTGTGCCTCAGATCATCAAAGCACTTACACACGTATATAACCACCTTCTTTGTGCAGCTAGTCAAAGCTGGGTTTATACCACTTCACTGTCTCATTTCAAGACATTGAATCCATACTGATTCATATGAGGACCTTGATTTCATATAAGGACCATCCTCATCCTTTACATGAGATGTGTATTCTTATTGGTGCACAGCACTGTAGGCTAACGTCTTGTGTAGAGGTTGTTTAAAAAGTCAGTGGTACTCGAGAGCACACCAAGTGTTCAGATGTGGAAAGGTACAGTAGCTTTCCATGATAGTAGGCTGTGGATACTTTTGTTCATCACTGATGATGTACTAAGCATCATTAAAGTCTTGATGTGGTCTGAGAGCGTTTCTTAAGTTCTGTGGGAGACACAAGTGCTATCCATTCATTAATTAACAAACCCCTCTTAAAGTTAAATGATCTTTGGAGCTTCTTTTTGGGGTGTAGATATAGACACCTGGGTCTGGATTCATTCTGCTTGACTTTATGCATCCAAAGGAGACATCTAAGATCTGAATCGCTTCCTAGAGAACCTTGTTGCTGTCTTTCTGGTGACAACAGGGTGACCTATCTCTCTGGTTTAGGTACCTGAAACCAGGTGTGAGGAATCCAGACCATTGTATAGGAAGTCCTCAGCAAGAGAGATTTCAGTCAGAGGATAAAGACAGTCAGAGTTGATTAAACATGTGTTATGCTTACAAGACAAGAGCACGACTGAAATGGCAGATTCAGTAGGAGGTGTTGATTCACAGAACCCTACTGAGGACCAAGTTCCTATAGAGGAATACAAAGTTGTCCACACAATATTGAGTTTTCCCTCTTATGCAGAGCAAAATACTGGAAAGCAGCAGCAGTAGAAATACAGCCTGCTAGGTCTTGCAGGTTAATCTGTCCTAACCTGCCAAAAGCAAAGTATCTGGCTTCACCAATATAAATTCTGTTCATACTTGCAGAAAGCTGGATTATCTTTGTTGAGGATGTGTGTAAATGACATGAGTTTATTTTTATTTTATTCATATAGTGTGAGCACAGATAAACAAACATGAACCTAACTTCCCATATTTCAAGAAGAGTAAACACATTTAAAGTGACAGGTCATTTGGTGATAGTCATTACACATGATAGTCACTGTAAAATGAGAGAGAAAATTTCATTAAGTGATTCTGGCTTACTCACCAAGTTAAAAGTATTGATTAATGTGGACACAAGAGTATCATCCATGTTTGTTGCACTGGTTACCAGTGCATCTCATCATTTGAGGTGTTGATACAGCTGCTGGGGTGAAATTTGATTGTGGCAAAAATATTACTTCAGCCAATACTGAAATCTGGTGAGTAATAAAACTTTGCCTGCAAGTCAGTTGAATACATCTCAAAGTATCAGCACAAACAATGTGTGGCCAGATTGGTGTGTGGGATCAAAATTAATATGGTGTCAACGAGGAGAGTGCCAAACTGAGCTCTAGTTTGCAAAACTAGCAGAGTTTGGCATTACTGCAAGGGTGTGTCTGTGCCTTTGCCGAGCTCTGCTGCATAAACAGTCACCTTATGGGATGGGTGTGGTTGTTCAGGAATCCTAAAAGCAGGGGCTGAAATACTGAAAAAATTCTGAGTTAAAAAGTGAACTTAAAAGCAGTGATCAGATTTTTCTTACTTATTTTCTGGTCAAAATAGCTAGAAACAATTGGCTGTGAATGTGGAAGAAGACGAAGGGAACTTTTCAGGAGGACGGTGTAGTGGGACAGGGCAGTTAGTGAAGATGCATGCTTGGGCAGTGCAGGAATGATGGTAGGTTGGATGGTGTATAGGTGTCTCAGACTATATTGTAATGAACTGATTAACCCTGATGCTCCCCCAGTTTTATTGTGCAGTTCTATTTGAAGGAAAAGGAGCCCAGCCTGGAGGTTATTTGTACTCTACTGTCAAGTGTGGATTTCTCCCTTCACTCCTTTTTGAAAATTTCCATTCAAGTCTGAGAGACACTGCAAAGAGTTCTTCTAGTTCTTACTTGGTTTATAGTTATTTAGTGACACTTAAATAAAATATTTGGTGTGTCTGCTTCCTAGAGACGCCCCATTGTTGCTGCCTAGTCTGTACTTGCAAAGCTTTAATGCAAGGTAGGGAAGCCAAAAGCAAGGTAGCGTACATAGCCCCAGGTAAAATCCTTTGAAGAGCTGGCAGAATATTAATTGCTGGGTTTTAAATGTGCATACTGAAGCCTATATAAAGGAGGAGTCTAGGTGTTTCAAAAGCCAGTAGTGGAATTTCATCCCTAGAAGCTGTACATTTTGCAAGCATTCTATCTTCATTTTTCAGCAAATGCAAACAGCCAGAAGAACTGTGCTCTGGATGTAAAAATGAATAGCAGTAGTTACAGCTATCATAGCAGTGATTCGCTGTTTAGCAACAGCACCAGTACTCGAACCAGCGTTGACTCTAATGAGAATTTCCTTTCTGTTAATTGTGGTCCCACGCTGATTAGATCTTGTATAAGCTTTGGTAATGGAACCATAGAAGGGAACAGGTAACTTGACATATATGCATTTGTGCTTTGTGTTAGATGCTGTTGATAATTTTGTTTGTTTTTAAAGCCATGCGACGTGATTGTAAATATAAATAACATAGTACTTATTTATTTTCCTGAAATGCTTTGGCATCACCTAGGTTGGAAATGCTGCAGCAAATTGCAAACAGGATTCAGCGGGACAGCCGGAGCTGTGAGGACAAACTGGTACTCGCCCGGAATGCTCTGCAGTCTGTAAGTCAGTCAGTGGTTCTACTTGTCTGTATTCATAAATTTATAGAAGTTGAATGGCAAAAATTTATTAAGGGTTTGTGAGGGCAACCTTAATAGCTGTTACTTGTATTTTCATTGTACTGTTAAGATAGCACCTAGAGTTGCCTTGAGTGTGTTCTGCTAGATTTTTTTTTGTTCTGTAGTTAATTAAATGCTTCAGAATAATTTCAAGATAAAAATAAGTTGGGGGTTTTTTTGGTGGTTTTTTTTTTTTTTTTTAATTTCTCAGAGCTGATATCTCTTTGGTTTTAGCTGCAAGGCTTATGACTTTCTCTTATTTATTAAGGACACCAAGCGATTGGAGTCAGGGCTCCAGTTCCAGCATGAAGCAGAGATAGCTGGGTATCTTCTTGAATCTGAGAATCTTCTCCGCCAGCAAGTGATTGATGCCCAAATTCTTATTGATGGAAAATACTATCAAGCAGACCAGCTTGTTCAAAGGTACTTTACAATATGTTTGTGTGAATAAACAAATGTCCTAAATATGGATTCCCATTATGGACAAAATTTTCAGCTCCTTATAACTATGCATACACTTTGTGGTCTGTCACTGAGCACCCAAATATCAGGTATTCTAGTGGGTGCATTGCCCAAAACTGTTGAAGAAATCAGGAGGGCTATTTGTACTTATTTATGAAAATGAAGTCAACTCCTGAGGATGACTTAATGTTTAATGTTTACTAGATATCTGTGTGTAAAGATGTTAGCTTGTTTTACTGCACATAAAATTCATTTAGAATTTACTAACTTTGATTTTTTTAAATGGAGGCAAGATTTCTGGTGACAGCTATATGTGTATTAACAGGTAATGTTAACAGGTAATAGTATGTTATATGTGGCACTGTGTACAGTGTTGGCAGAAAGAAGCATTTAAACTGCTTAACTTTGTTTTATGAAGAAGTAACTCCAAAGATTTTTTGGGATTCATCCTTGGACTGATTGAGATGACGTGCATAACTCCTTGGCAGTGTACTGCACGTGTTTGATCTACTGCAACGTGTAGTGTCTTGTAAGATTTCTGGTTTGGTGATTGCTCCCTGGAATTGTGTATAGTGCGTGTTAGTGCCTATACCATTTTTTCAATCTTTGCCTGATTTCTGCATTTTTTTATCTGTATAGAACTACAAGCTGATATTCCCTGTACCTTCTTATAAAAATACTTGCTTATAAATATTTAAGTGCAATTAAAGTGTAAGAGATAACGTGAGCTCACGTCACTATTCAGTTGATCATGATAAACTTTAATCATAAGCATTCACTGGGGTTTTTTTAAATTCTAATTTAATAGAGTTGCAAAACTTCGTGATGACCTGATGGCCCTACGGACCGAATGTTCTTCCGTGTACAACAAGGGGCACGCGCTGACCACCGAGCAGACGAAGCTGATGATATCAGGAATAACCGAAAGCTTAAACTCAGGATTTACAACAAACCTAACGCCTGAACTAAATGCTGCAATGACACAAGGTTTAACGCCTACTTTGACTACTTCCAGTTTGACATCTGGCCTTTCATCAGGTCTTACTTCCAGACTGACACCAACCATCACCCCTGCTTACCCATCAGGCATCCCACCACGGTTAATTCAGAACTATGTGACGGGAGTAGACAGTGGGACTCTGCAAACGCTCAAACTGATGCAAATCAGAAAACCTCTTATGAAATCAGCTTTTGTGGATCAGAATTTGACAGAAGAAGAGGTGAACATGAAGTTTGTCCAGGACCTATTGAGCTGGGTGGAAGAAATGCAGGTAGCAATTTTTGCAGAAACAGCCCACCTTTAATGATTGCATTTACTTTTTATAGATCATGGCTAATCTTTTCTTCCTGTTTGTAAGGTTCAACTTGATCGAGCAGAATGGGGTTCAGATTTGCCAAGTGTTGAAAGCCATTTAGAAAATCACAAAAATGTCCACAAAGCTATTGAGGAATTTGAATCCAGCCTTAAAGAAGCCAAAATCAGTGAGGTACTGCACCATGTTCTTTATTTCTTTGATTACTTTCTTACTGAGTGACCCATAAACTAATGTTGAATTTTAGAACTGTACTTGGGTTTCAGTCTTACCTTTATTTCTGATCTCTACATGACTTATGATGAAATCATAAGATCTAATGATTTAACATATCTAACCTTTTATTGTCTTTTGATCTCATGTACCAAATATAGATCCAAATGACTGCCCCTCTTAAACTCAGTTATGCAGAAAAGCTGCACAAACTGGAGAGTCAGTATTCAAAACTCTTGGTAAGTTAACCATACCTCTTCCATGTTCAGCTTTTCAATGTGCATAATTCCTGATAAGGGATGAGCTTTAAATTCTGATTTTTAAAAATCTTTTTATTTTCCTTTAATTAAAGAACACATCAAGAAATCAGGAAAGGCATCTAGATACTCTTCACAATTTTGTGTCTCGTGCTACTAGAGAGTTGATATGGCTGAATGAAAAAGAAGAGGAGGAGGTTGCATATGACTGGAGTGAAAGAAACCCCAATATAACAAGAAAAAAAGAATACCATGCAGTATGTATTACTAATATAATCCAGAGAGAATAATTAAGTGATCTTTAATAATTAGAGAAAGTTCTACAACTTTTTTTTTCTTTGTCTAAAAAAAAGGAGTTAATGAGAGAACTTGATGAAAAAGAAGAAGTTATTAAATCAGTACAAGAAATAGCTGAGCAATTGCTTCTGGAAAACCACCCAGCCAGGCTAACCATTGAGGTAAGTTAGTAAAACCAGCACCTAAACAGGAAAAGTTTTGGGATTTAAAAGAGCTGAGTTTTGGGGGAAAAGAAGGCAAACTTAGAGAAAATTAATCAAGACCCTAAATTAAAGGGACCTTTTAAAATTTCCTCTTTAGCATCTTTAGCATCTATGTGTATTTTTCTTCCAATTTGCAAAAAGTAAAAACACTTTTATAGTTATTATTACATCTTGGATTACTTAGATGAAATCTCCTTAAATTCTGAAATTAATTGGTCTGTACAGATGTTTCTGGTCATGCAACTTCTAGAGTTTTTGAGACAAATTGAATTGACAGACTGAGGGCACAGAACAGTCCTTATGTGATTTCTTTCCTGTTGGATTGAAAGAAATTCCAGTTACAGCTTTTGTCATCACTTACTGTATGTGCAGATTCCTATTATGATTTAAGGTTGGTTTCATAACTTACTTGTCAGGGAATTATGAAACTTGTTTGGATGTTAAAAATCTGACCAGGTGATATGATTTACTTCAGGCTTGAGTCTAGCTCTATGTTATATATGTAAAAAATTTACAGAAAAATTTATTGTAGCTGTTGTAGGGTCATAAGAGGTTTTCAAAGGAGAATGTAAAGCACTTTTCCTTGTAGACCTTCAGGGAAAGAGTAGATACAGACAGTGGGAGGTAAAGACTGAAACAATAAAAAGCTGATTTATTAGAGAAGAATGAAAAAAGCCAGAGGGAGTATGTTTTTATTGTTCTTCAGCTTTGTGAGTTTACGCATGCAAAATGGGAAACATGAAAAAAACCCTCCTTTCCTTCCTTTTCGTAACATCTACTTTGAATAATAAGTGACTTTTTGCATAATGTGGGCAATTAAAAGTGTAGGCTGTTCTAATGGGTTCTCATTGGTGTAGTGTATGAACACACTGGGGATGCCTGTTATGAAACCATCGCAGTCACGATGACTGTGCAGGTTATGCTGTCTCCAATGATGCTGTATTGGGATATTTATACAAAATATCCTTTAAAAAATATCCTTTAATACAGAATAATCTATGCATTAATGCATCAATTTGGAATTCCTGTCATTTCAATGTACAAACTGTTTGGAGCTGGGGAAGGCAGGAGTTGACACCCCGGGATTGGGGGGGATGTCCCAAAGGCAGGAGCGCCCCCTGCCGGTGTGCCTGCGTGCGTGCGGCTCCTCGGGGGTCCCGAGCTGTCCCCCAAAATCAGATCTGGCCCCCAGGCCTGGGCTGGGGTTTCAATTGTGTATTAATTAACTGTGTATTCAGTGCTGCTTTAATATACGAATTGTATCCAGGCAAGACTCCAGCTATTTTGATTGTGTAAATAGGCACACAGAATTGTAGCTGAGCTTAGACTGGGGGACCTCAGCAGATGTACTCCAGCTATTGCTGGAAGCTCTGTCAAGGATTTGTTTGCCCGAAATCTGACCAAGCCAGAGGATAATGACTTCATGGTCCTTCTGAGCAAGTTTTATTTTATTTGACTATGCTGTAGTGATAAGGTTTTTTTCTCACACCTAATTGGAATTTTCCTTGCTGCAGCTTAGTTTTCAAGGGTGAGGTGATCTGGCTTTAGCTGTTTGTGTTTGCTGCATTACTTTTGTGTTTCCTAAATTCTGTAAAGGTATGGATGTTTTAGTTTTCATTTCCATTTGTAAAATATATCTCCCTTCCTTAAAGGCCTATAGAGCTGCAATGCAGACACAATGGAGCTGGATTCTTCAGCTCTGCCACTGTGTTGAACAACATTTGAGAGAAAATGCTGCATATTTTGAGGTAAGAAAATAAATCAATCAGGATATGAAATATTTTAAATTTTGTTCCTAGTCAAAAAGTTCCAACAAAAGCTCTAGTTGTTCTCTCACAGTAATTGTAGAATTGACATTTGTCTTTTACAATCAGTAGATGATAAGTCATGCTCCCACAGTGTTGCCACACCTCTGTTTCTTCACTACAGTTATGTCAGTTCACAGCAGATGAAAATCTGGCTTGAGATTTTTTTCAGTGCTGCAGCTGCAAGTAGAGACTCTGAGAATTAGACCTTGTTCTCTCCCTGTCGTGCTGTCAATGGAGCTTCTGCAGATGATGTAGCATGGAGGGTGGCTAGTGATGGCCATGGGAGAACATATTCTAGATGGGTATTCCAGGACTACACAAAGCAAAATGGAATGTGCAGCATTGATAATAAACAGAGTAGAGAACACCCTGACAGCAGACACATCCCATGGAACATCCATCTGATTATCTCATTGTCACCCATTCACATACTCAGCAAATGATTAAGTTACTTGTGTGAGCATGATAGAGGAGTATTTTTGTTGGTTTATTTGTTTTTAAATCTACTCATTTAAACATTTAAATTATAAGGATGAATCCTTAATGTCTTGTGGGTTGTGTGGTTAAAGGGAAGGGGGATAATGAAGGGATGAGGTGCTTTTGGATGAGATGGATGAGAACCCAGAGTTAGGAATGGGACACTGGAGAAGACAAAGCAATTTGAGCTCCTTGTGATGGGGGAAGAAACTGGAGTTCTGGATTTAATAAATGGGGCTTAAGGGAGAGAATGGGATTACCCTTTCCAGTCATGCCTAATCAGGACCCTTGTTTGGGTGTGCAGATACCCAAGTGTGGCAGTCATTTCCCTTCCTGCACAAAATGTTTGCCCCAGCTGTGCTGCCTGGATTTTCCAACTAGTTTCTATAGTTTGTAGGCTTTGTCTGTGCTTTCTTACAATTACATGAAAGTAATTGTAATTCCAAGGAATGAAAGATTGGCTTAATAATTTTTTTTTCATTGCAGAAATGGTCATTAGCTGTAGGTTCAATAACTGCAGAATTAATTTTGCATGGAGCTCATACCAAGAATAACTGGTGTTAACACTGTGTGCCTTTTTGAAGAGTACATTTAGACATGAGATCACGAATAGCTGAGTGTGGTGCAGTGGTCACTTCAAGTGATGAGAAAAGGTTGTTTTAAAAGATAGCACTTGAAAACTTCAGTATAGCTGATTCTGTATTTTTCAGGTTGTTTAAAAATAACCCAGATAATTATTTTATCCTAGTTTTTCAGCGACGCCAAAGAAGCCATGGAATATTTGAAGAATTTAAAAGATACCATATACCGAAAATACAGTTGTGATAGATCAAGCAGTCTTCATAGGCTGGAAGACCTTGTCCAGGAGTCTATGGTAAGATCTTTGGTAGGATCCTATTAACAGGAATTACAATGGAACAAGAAATGTGTAAGTTATGGTGGGATATGAAATGTGTTAAAATTATTCATTTAAAATGAAGGAAAAATGCTGATTTTTCAGAACTTGTAAATAAATGACTATTTTTCATAACTTTAAAATAGAGTTTTATTTATTTATTTATATTTATAATACCAGATGTGGGAAGACAGTGGCTTCAGAAAGATACTTTGTTTTATAAAATGTTACTTTTAGAAAACACAGTAGAAGGAGTCAAGGAAAAAAAAACATAACAGGATCAAAGAGGGAGTACTGTATTCTGGACATCTCTTATAATGTACTCTTTTCTTAACTGTTCTAGGAAGAAAAAGAGCAACTCTTGCAGTACAAGAGCACAGTAGCAGGCCTTGTGGGAAGAGCAAAGGCAATAATTCAGCTGAAGCCAAGGAACCCTGACTGTGTACTCAAAACATCCATTCCAATTAAAGCCATCTGTGACTATAGACAAATTGAGGTTAGAAACTAAAATTTTCTCAAACCAATTACAGATGTAAGAATTCAGCTAAAGTTTCATTAATTACCACGTTCCTGAAGAAAGCTGGGCTGTAAATTTCTTCCACCCTAGTAAACAAGAGCAAATCCTTTGGTTAGAACATTGGTTTTGTTGTTCTGTTGCTTGTTTGTTGACAGCATTTGCAGAAGTGCTTTGTACAATTATTTTGTAATGCTTGGCTCATCAAATTATTCTGCTTTTCTGTTAATACTAGATAACTATTTACAAAGATGATGAGTGTGTGTTAGCAAACAACTCCCATCGTGCTAAATGGAAAGTCATTAGCCCAAGTGGTAATGAGGCCATGGTTCCATCTGTATGCTTTACAGTTCCTCCACCAAACAAAGAAGCAATAGATACAGCCAACAGGTAGGGACAATGTAAAATTACCTATTTTCTATTAAAATCTACTTACATGAAGCTTGGGTTAAAAAAAATATCTCACAGTTTATGTTGTTGGTGGTTTTTTTTCCTTTTTCTGTTTTTATGTGTTACCCCAACCTGAAGTTGGAATTTTTTTTTGTTTCAGGATTGAACAGCAATTTCAGAATGTTCTGGCACTTTGGCATGAGTCACATGTAAACATGAAGAGTGTGGTGTCCTGGCATTACCTGACAAATGAAATTGAAGTTGTTCGAGCTGGCAATGTTGCCTCAGTAAGTGTTATGTCTAGGGAGGGCTCTTAACCTTTTACTAGGATGTCATAGGATGACTAAAACTGTGTGAGATCACAACTTGCAAATAGTATTTGCAGTACCAAAAATGACACTTGCCTACCTAATTTATCACTGTTACTGTTGGAAAGAGGAATCTGAGATAATTCCTGAAGTGTCCCTACTTGTCCTTCCTAATGTTTGTTGCTGCATGGCATTAGATGTGAGAAATGAAGTCCGATGTAGGGTTGGCTTAAACAGAGACCATTCCTGATGTGAAAGATTGAAAAAGATTTAATGTTGAGTATAAATTATCAGCTGTCAAGAGAACTCCAGCTAAGGAGCAGTGAGCTTTCAGAACCTCAGTTCTTTGAATTTACAATCTCAGTAATTGAACACTATTACTTTTTGGTAAAAAACGTCGCAGGAACTGTGTGAGTGATGCACCACTGCTGACTGTGCTTTGGGTCTATAATCTGTTGCAGATAAAGACAATGCTGCCAGGTGAACATCAACAGGTTCTAAGCAATTTACAGTCCCGCTTTGATGATTTTGTGGAAGACAGCCAGGAGTCCAAAATCTTTACAAGCTCCGATACAGCACAGCTGGAAAGGGAAGTTAATGTTTGCAAGCAATACTATCAAGAGCTTCTCAAGTCTGCAGAAAGAGGTAAAACTTAGCTTAGAACAGTAGAAAGATGCCCTTATGAGAGAGATTGTGTTCTTGATCTTGAGATCTCTTTTATCATGGTGATATTGTCACTGCCTGTGTTCTTTTGAACAGAGTAATTTTAACAGTGTGTGCAATTACATTGTATAGAAAATGTTAAAATTTTTTAAGCTTTGTATATATTAATCTCTGTAAAAATATTGTTGTGTTACATAATATACAAAATGCTACAAAAAATTTTACACCTAGGAATTTATTATGTACGTTACAGCTCACTGCTTAGTTCTGAGTTCCTTGTTTTTGAATGCTGGAAAAACAGCTTGATTACTTGATTGAGTTCGTAACAGAATGTCCCAGGGTGTCCCAAACCAGGGCACAGAATTAGAACTTTTTTTCACCCTGTGAAAAGGCAAAGAAAACATCCTAGCGATTTTCCTATCTCCGCAGGATGCCTGTAGTTAGTGCTGTCTTAACTCTAATTAACAATTTATTAATACAGTGAGACCAGAAAGCTTAAAATAGCTCTTCTGATTTACTGTTGAGTAGTTGATGACTTAAAGAAATACAGGAGTGCAAAGCTGATTACTTCATTAGCAAAGTTCACTAAACTTCAGGAAAGACGTGGTGCCCTGTGCATTTGAAAGAGGATTTATGTCCCTGAAACCACTGATTAAAAGAATCAGTCCCTGAATTTAGCAATGTTGTCACAGAGTTAATGCCTGTGGCAGAATGGTCACAGACAATTATTTTTCATGTGTGAGGAGATGATTTAATAAAAACAAAAATTAAGTGTTCCTCAGATTTGCCTTAAAACCAGTTTCAATGGAAACTGATGGCATTTTCACCAATCACAAAATGACCTGTAGAGTAATGACTTTATGAAGTGTGAGAAGTTATGGTGAAAATGACATGATGACTTTGCTGGCTAACATGTGCCTTAATTCTGTCAACAGAGGAGCAGGAAGAATCTATTTACAATCTGTACATCTCTGAAGTCAGAAATATCAGACTACGACTGGAGAGTTGTGAGGAGCGGTTAATACGGCAGATCCGGACGCCAATGGAAAGGGACGATGTACATGAAAATGTACTTAGGATTTCAGAGCAAGAGGTGAGCCTTTGGGAAAGTCTGTTTTACCTAGGAAAGGTTTTATTTAAAAAACAAATACACCCTGATTTTGAGTGTAAGCCAGGAAGGTTTGTAGTGTACCGTGAAAGGAGGAGTCAAATATTTAGCTTGTGTTTGTGAGCAAAAAGGTGCTGATCAATGGCAACTCTGTTAGTTTCCCTATTGCACATATGCTTCTCTTCAGTTTTTTTCAACAGTGCCATCATCAAAGACCCAAAGGAAGGCAGACCTGTACGCACAGTGATATATAGAGTATATATCAGCTTGATGTAGGATGAAAACATTATTAATCACCTTTCATTTTACAGAAACTGAAGAAAGAACTGGATCGACTGAAAGATGACTTGGGAGTCATCACAGATAAATGTGAAGAGTTTTTCAGTCAAGCTGCTGGTTCACCTTCAGTTCCTACTCTACGCTCTGAACTCAATGTTGTTATACAAAACATGAACCAAGTTTACTCCATGTCTTCCATTTTCATAGATAAGTATGTACTAGGCTGTCTTCCATCATTCCATGACACATGTTTTAGACAATAGTTTTCTCGTAAATTAAATCAGTATGAATAATATTGATCAAGGAAAAGGGAGTTAACATTTTAACATTGTATAAAGGGGTACCCTGTGACATGAAAAGCCTGAAAAACACAAATTTATTGAGTGTTGGTATTCATGGTTCAGTTAACAGGGAGTCTGTTTTTCAGATTAAAAACTATAAATTTGGTGCTGACGAACACCCAAACAGCAGAATCATTAGTAAAACACTATGAAACTAAATTGTGTGAAGAAGAGGCAGTAACGGCTGACAAAAACAATATTGAAAATCTGATGGGTACATTAAAGGTAAGAGCTGGCTGGTGCCTTTTCGTGGGCAAATAAAAGAAATAAGACAAAACCTATCTGTCTTGTAACACTTGATTTTGTTATGGTACACTCCATAGTTTATCAAACATTGGCTTGTATGTTTAGTTTTAGGAAGTATTAGGATTGACATTTCAGAAAAAAATGGCAGCTTTGGAGCATTAAGATTTGGATAGGTTGAAAACATGTTCCTGCTATTGCAAAATACATTGAAGTATCTGAACTTGCACAAGTGGCACTTGTTAATGCTGCAGTAAGATTTTCTTTGCTCTTCAGAAGGTAGCATATACTTAGGGTAACATAAATATTTATTTATATTTATGAGAAATAGAAAGATTGAAGTCAGTATTTTTTGTTTGCTGTATATAACTAATTTTGATATTACAAATTATGAGTAATGCTTTTTTGCTAGATAAAACGATTGGCATCTGCCTAGTAATTTTTTTTAAAAGCTGTAGTTTATAAGGTGTGTTCGTTTGATGCTTGTGTTTTGACCTATGTGTTGTGAAGATTGCTGTTATTTAGAATTATTTTTCAGTTTATTGCTTCAGATCCATTCTGGTGCCACTTGAGTATTTGAGCAAGCAGAAGTAAAATATTAATTGAAGCAATTTTATTGAGTCATTTATACAGCATACTTATGTAAAAGACTAATTTATAAAACAGTGTCATAATTTAGGAGTTATTTGCAACTTTTTTTAATCACCTACTAGCAATGGAGATCTGAAGTAGATGAGAAAAGACAAACATTCCATGCCTTAGAGGATGAACTGCAGAAGGCAAAGATGATCAGTGATCAGATGTTTAAAATGCACAAGGAACGTGATCTTGACTTTGACTGGCATAAAGAAAAAGTTGATCAGTTGGCTGAGAGGTGGCAAAATGTTCATTCACAAATTGAAAATAGGTTTGTATGACTTTTTATTACAATATGTTCATTTTTTTTAGTGTTTTGTAAACAGTACAGGGTTTATTTTACTATTTCTGAGGAAAAATAATCAGAAATGAATGTTAAAAGAGGTCTGAATACTTGTCTGAACTGTTCTTGGAATGTGCTGGGATGAAGATCTTTATTGTGCTGTTGACAACACTGCCTTACTTTTCCACTGGAAATATCTGTGACTGTTAAGCTCCAGAAGATGAGCAAGATACAGAAACTTACTACTTACTGATACACAGTAGACATGAATTGTCTTTTATCTTTAAAAAACACAAACCTGCAGAAATGCCTGGCAGTCCTATGGAAATGCCATCTGTTTCTCCACGTAATTAACTCTGATGGGCTAAATTGCTGGGCTGATTCATCAGTTATGATTGGATTCACGTTAATTTGCTTTTAATTACTCAACTGTTAAGTCTGGAAGTTCTTAGCTTCCATTGACTTCTGTGCTAATTTTTGGTGCAGTAACTTTTTGGTGCAGTGCCTTCTATTTTTCTAAATATCCAATAGAGATAGTGCTCTAAATTCAGCTCTTTACTATCAAATAAAAGTTGAAATACTGAAATATGCTGCTCGAGTGCACATACCTACACAGTTGTGCAGATGCAGCAGAACACACCTACCTGTCTTTCTGAAGGAGACGTCCATACATGGCATTCCTGGAAATGCTTTTTCCTTAAGTCTCTACAGTCCTGTTTCCTGTATATAAAGGAAGCAGAACTCTACAGGCTGAAGGAAAATGTATGGACAAGTATTGAGGAGTTCTGTACTGTGCAGTCTGAAGTTACTACCTTTGAAATGCTCTTGCATTTTTGGCAATTATTGATAGCCTGAAAAAGAACACTGAAGATAGTGCTATTGATGTACTAGTTCACACAACAACCTGTCATACTTTTTTCCTGCTTTTCTACAGAGTGAATAAACATTCAAGTGCAATATTGAAGTTGTTCACTTGTAATTAACTAGTTTAGTTGTGTCTGTTTAACATTGCTGTAAGTTACAAGATTGGAAAAAGGCAATTCATTTAAAGCTGACTGCAGAAAGGCTAGCTTAAGTTCCACCTCTGATTTTTCATCAGTTGTTAGTGTGACATAATTTAAATGATTAAACAGTAGTTTTATGAGGTACTGAAGTGTTCTTATTTCTTCAAGAGAGTAAGCATGAACCACATGCTCTCCTCCTATGACTGTATCCTGAACAGAATATGCTGAAAAATGACTGCTAATATGTAGGGGCTTCTGGTGTAAATAGGACAGATTGCAGTAACTGCAGTACAGAGCTGTAAACAAGCTGCTTTCTACAAATATTATCTCTGCTTCTTTCTACCAAGTTGACACTGATAATTATACAAAATTTATGTACAAATATTGGCTGCAGGATCATGATCCTTTCTCTTTTTCATGGTTATTAACTTTAAAACATGCTTAAGTATGAAACCTGAGCAAAAAAATGTTCTTTACTTGCTCTTTTAAAATCTCTTTTTGGCATCTTAAGAGCAATACTAGAGCAATTCAAAGTATTCATTCCAAGTCGAACTGTAAAAGGTTGTTTAATTTTGTTTATTCTGCAGTGTTGTGTGGTCATATTTATATGGTATTTTAAGTGGAATCATAGAATATCCTGAGTTAGGAGGAACTTACAAGGATCATCAAGTCTAACTCCTGGCTCTGCGCCAAATCACACCATGATAACAAGTAGCAGTATAAGGATCACGAAAGAAAAACTGTATCTCCCTCAGTATGGAAATGACTTCAAAGAAATACACAGAACTCTCTTTCTAGGTCAAAAACACGATTTAAAATTAGATGTACATGTTCAATTACTTTTGCACATTAACATATTTACATCTTTAGTTTTAGCATAACTCCTGCTGTTTTGTGGGAGGCATGGAGAGTATGGTGGTCCATTACTTGACTCCAGCATGGCACACTCCTCGATTCATAGGTCACATTTTAAATACTCTCACTTCTTGTAACAGAACTGATTGCTGTAGCAGAGCCCTCCCTCTTTCTTGGGGTTTCCTGTGCTCATGGAGTTTCAAGCAGTTGAACATGCTAATGAGGGATATATAGAGTTTCTTGTGTACTAGGGGCTCTCCTGGATGTCTTTTATGACAAATGGAAAAAGTTCATCAGTCTGGGAGCCTTAGTGTTTGAGAAGTGAATTTGCTGCTTAATTAGTGTTACTTTAATATGTTTATACAGTAAACTATAACAGAGCTAAGGCATTTGAAGGCTTTAAAGCTGTCTTAGTGTTGTAATTTTTGTCTTTAATATTAATCTTCTCCCCTTTGATTTGTCTTCTAAAATAAAATCAGGTTGCGTGACTTAGAAGGTATTAATAAGTCTCTGAAGTATTATAAAGATACTTACAATTCTTTGGACACTTGGATTCAACAAGTGGAAGATACTCAGCGAAAGATTCAAGAAATACATCCTGAAAATAGCAAAGCATTGGCTAAGCAATTGAACCAACATAAGGTATGAAGGAGATGTCATTGTGGCAAGCCACTGTGTTAAGCACTAGCCAAAGAATTACAATATCAGTGATCTTAATCTTGTTTATTAATATGAGGAACTTATATCCATCAGCCGCTACTGTAAAGCTCCAAATAATCACTAGATTTTATGATTTTGTGTTTATAGTGCAGCCATGAATGTATCACCCAGTGACAATTGTCACTGTTTTATAGACCAGATTGCTGGTGCTGAAGTGTGCAAGAACATCAAAACTTTAAACTTCTGGACTTGTCTTACCATGTAATTTCATATTCAGTGCTGCTCTTTTTTGTTTATGGATGTAGAAATATTTTCATGGAAGCAAAGCTAAACTCAACATCTGTCTCCTGCAAGAAGGAAATAAATATAAGTAGACAGGATAATAAATTATATGCATGAAATTATATAGTCCTGATTTTGTTATAAGTTAATTCACCAACTATTAACCTGGTAGGTTTTTTCATTACTTCTGTACTGTAAATCTGATAAAGCTGAGGACAAAGACTTGAGCCTTGTACACATATGGATAGGAGCATATTAGGTAAAGTAGATGTTAATGAACATCTTATTTAACCTATTTAGGTTAGATAATGTTAGATAAAGCAGAAATGTTATTTATAATAGTAATAAAAATAAATTTTAAGGTGAAAATGTACATTCGTATTTTACAGATGCTGGTTTCTGAGATTGAAATGAAACAAAGCAAAATAGATGAATGCCAGAAGTATTCAGAACAATATTCAGCTGCTGTGAAGGTAGCAATAACATTACACTTATAATCCTATTTTTTTAGTGTGAGTATCATGTGTAATGCCAATGATTTTGTGTATTTTCTCTTGTACAGGACTATGAGTTGCAGACCATGACCTACAGAGCTATGGTTGATTCCCAACAAAAATCTCCAGTAAAGCGCCGAAGAATGCAAAGCTCATCAGACTTCATTATTCAAGAGGTAAATGGGTTTCTTATGACAGGAAAATGTGAGTCTTTGCTTAAGACAGAGTAAACACAAGAATTCAGTTTTGGATTTATTAATGATTAAATATGGTAATCCAAGAAAGATTGGGTTTTTTTCTGTAGAAACACGATATAAAAAATATTCTCTTGTTCCTTATGCTGCATTTTGGCAGCAAGACAGTATAATGTGACTGATTACAAAAAGTCACCCAAATTATAAAGAGGTGTATGAGAACTGTAAACTCAGTAAAGCTGCCTCAGTAAAACTGTTTAGAATTACCTCTGGACTGGATCTTGATCACAGTAATCAAGAAGTTAATCTTGACCATAGTAAAACCTACCAAATCTGGACACTTTGATAGATTTTAAGTTAAATCAGCCTCATTTGGGTGAGAAAGATTAATTTGTCTCCCTCCTACCTGTTAGAGAGAGGAGCAGTGACAAGCATGGCTTGCCCCTCTTGAAACCTTTTCTTACAGGAGGAAGAATCAAATGACTGTCAAGTCAAAATATTCTCTTCTGTTTCTTCTTCTTATGGATCTGCTCATAGATCCTAAGAATACATTTGCTCAGGTGCACCTTCTTTACAGCATTAAATTTTGGAATTAAAATTAGAGCTTTGGATTCCACAATCATGATTTTGAAATCAAAATAGGTTCTAGAGCAGTGTTTATCACTTCTTTCAAGCTTAATTGGAGTGTTCACCTCTATGACATCTGCCTCTCTCTTTTTGTTTCTCTACAGTTCATGGATCTACGGACTCGGTACACTGCCTTAGTGACCTTGATGACCCAGTACATTAAGTTTGCAGGTGATTCTTTGAAAAGACTGGAAGAGGAAGAGGTAGGTCATTCTCTAGCAGTCAACCAAGCAGAAAGAACTTCTAGGCAAAGAAAATGCAATATACCTGTTGGAATAATTCACAAAGTTACCAGCAGATGTGGAAAACTAAAATTCCTTATGTAGTGCACATTATACAGGAATGTAGCAGTGTTAGCACTGCTATAATTCAGATAAGCAAAATCCTGTACCATACATGCATTTTACCAGTTCTTGCACCTAGAAAGATCGTATGATTCGTTGAATTCTGATGGAGATGGAGTTTAAATTTAAATACTAATACTTTCAATTTTAATACCCTAGGGGCTTGATCTTTTGGATAAAAGCAGACATTAAGATGAAGGCAAACTCATCACATATATCCTATGTATACATTTTTAAAATATTCCATAGCATGCATTCTGGTCCACTTAACAACCTACAAGGAAGTTCTTTCAACAGGGAGATGAGATGCCCTCTTAATTAATTTCTGAAGTTAGTTTGATCTGTTCACTTTATTTTTTCCCTTCTACCTTTCCACTGTATTAATTCCTTGGGGTCAAACAGCATTTAATTTTTGCTTAGTGTTGGATCTTACTTGCAAGAGTAGGTTATTGAAATTAGGCAGACAAATTACTGAAAATACATACTTGCTGCAGAGCAAATCTTCCAAATAATTGAGAAAAAACCCCAACCTTCTAAACTTGTCACTTTCTTTTGAAAACGGTGTCTCAGAAAGAGATTATATAGTCATTCTTTAAGGACTACATTAAGTATAAACTATATAAATTGGATAAAATTGGAGAACAGTACTGTATGGGTATAAATTTTAATGATATTTTTAAAGAAAAAACAGTTCTTAAATGAAAGTTATAAAATTCTGGTGCTAATTTTGTCTTTATTGGCTTTTCTTGCTATTGAATACCTCTGAACCAACACTAATATCAGCATGTGTCTTTGGGCATCATCAAGTGGTGGAGCAAACTGATGGAAATACATAAAGTTTGTTGATAAGTTGCCATTATAACTGAGGATTTAGTATGACTAATAATGATAATGGCATCAAGGATAAAAAGTCAGTCAAAGAAAAAGGGTCAGGAAATCTGTGAATGTTGATAGACTTCATGTCCTTCAAGAACAAGTGGAATTTTTCAAAATGTTTAGAGTTTCAGTCTGCTCTGAGTCTCCAGGATTGCTTTTTTTTTGAAATCAAGTACCCCTCATCTTCCTTCCTTCTCTACCCCCTGTCAGCCTTCTAAACCTTTGGTAGCTTCTTTGAAGATAACCTAAGCAGGTTTCCAGTCTCAAAATAATATCATGGGTTTTTTTCTCTTTTATCAGGGTAGCAAATCAGAAAAATAATAATCTTTTTCAAAAGAGGAATGAGGTTTTTTTTCTTCCGGAAAGAAAAATTCTTCACAGACCTCCATTGTCTGTGATTGTTCCAATATTTTCTTTTATGCAGTCTTTCTTCCTAACTCTCATTAATGGCATTAAGAAAACAGAGAATAAGGAATAAATAAGATACTTTCCATCATATCTCAGTTTAATCTGTGTGCTGTCATGCTCAGAGATTACCAGAAGAGAATCAACTCCAGCAACCTGTGAAGTCAGCTGAAGTCTTTCCACATTTGGGATGTAATGAAGATCCTGAATTGAGAGAAGAAAAGAAACCTAATGAAAGCATGATGGATGTGGAATATCTGCAAAACCAGAGCTCTACCAGTAAACCTGAATACACAGAAAATAAACTGGAAATAAACAGAAGAAAATTAACTGTAGGCAGATATGATAAAATTAAAACTGATAGAACATTTAAACAACTTCTAAATTTCAGTGGTCAAGAAAGTACCATTAGAGGCAACAGAGACAGTAAGCTGCATACAGAGGAAGAGAGTTTAATGGGTTTTGGTAATCAAAGTAAAGAAGAAAAAAATGGCAGGAAAGATAGTTTTGTTTCAACTGAAATCTGTGTGAGTGTGAACAATGATCCTAGTGAAATGTTAAATGAGCAAATTGCTAATGCAGAGAGACAGAAAACAGAGGGGAAATCAAAGAAGTTGCCTGTAGTGCAATCAGAAACTGATTTTGAGCTAACAACAAAGAAAACTGAAGTAACTCCAAAAACTGCAAAGGAGGCCCTGGGTATCAGCCCTTACAAACAGCAACAGTTTTCACATAGACCTTACTTTCAATGTCAGCATGAAGAGCATTCCTTTACAGAAAGCAAAAGCCATAGTACTTTAAAATCTGAAGACAGAGAGTTTCAAGTGTGTGGTGAAAAAGCTGGTTCTCTTTCAGGTGCAACGGATGCAACATCTTTAGACGAAGTTGCATCCTCTTTCGGAGAGCTGGCAGTGCACAATGGAAGTGAACAAACAAAGTTAAATTTGCAATCTATGAGTACTCCAGATGTTTATCATCATGTTGAAAAGAATACTGACAAACTGCAGAAACCATCTCTGGATAAAGATTACTTCCTTGTAGAAAATGAAATCCTAGAAAAATCAAATTCAAATAAAGCCAAGAATACAGAGCAAGAAATTTTGGCTGTTTCTTCAGGAAATATTTCAGAGACTCACTGTGCAGCAAAAGTTTTTGAATCCTACCCATTAGATTTTCAGCTATCACCAGTGCAGAATGATCAACATTTAGGTACAGAATTGTTAGGAAATGCTGGTGATTTAAATGCAAATTTAGGTGTCTCAGGAATTTTTTCTGGAGGAGAGGATTATTTTCCATTATCAGAACATGAACTAGCAAAAAAGCTTCTAAGTCACTATAAGAAAGTCAACGTGAAGAAGCAGAGTGGAGAAGACAGGCTAGAACAGGGTCAGAAATGTAAAGATTTATTGTTAGTTTCAGAAGTAGACAGTAGAGATGAGGGTAGTAGCACAAAGGTCCCTGGAAAAACCACTGAACTCCAGAAAACATTCAGTGAAAAAGTAGGCATAAAAGCCTCATTTAAAAAAAAGGAAAAGCAAAAAAAGAGAGAGAAAGATCATGAAGAGAAAAGGAGCACAGCTATGATTAAGGTACCAGAGTTTCTATGCAATGCAAATGAAAAAGTTAATCTAAGAATGATTTTAAATCAATGCAAATCAACATTTGAATCACAAAGTATGTCAAGGTCAAGTGATTTAAGATTGATTGAACATAATTTAAACAATGAATATGCTAATCATATATCAATTACTGTGCATTTTGAGATGCTTAAGACTTCCAAGTTCTTAGAAATTAATTTTTATGTTTATTTCGTGTTAATATTTGCCATCCTTTTCTCCACCCAACTGATGCTCAGCATGTTGATTAGAAAAATGAAATCTAAGAACATACAGTTTGTTACTGTGTCTATATTTTTAGGTCTTTTTTCCAAGCATAATACATTTGATTCTGTGTTTATGTGAGTATAAAAGATCTGATAATAAATCAATTTAAATACTTTGTTTCTATTGAGGACTGTTGAAAATTTTAATAGAGGGAAATATGGAGAGGAACTGAAGAAGCTGCCTTTGCATTAGCCTTTAGGAAATGTCTCAGATATCATATGAAAAATTAAGTAAATCTGGTAAATTTTAAGTAACCCAATGATTGGTTTGTTTGAAAACGTTGCTCTCATTATCCTTTGTGCCCTGTTTGTATGATCATAGGAATATAGGTGTGCTCTTACTTCACGTTAGCTCACATTTGGTAACTTAGCACCACAGTAGTGCTAATGAAGACAAGGTATGTATAGTTTCAACCATATTATTACTGGTGATTACACTTCTTGCTTAAATGACTTGCTCTGGATCTGCCAATACATAGAGACTACCAGCCAACTGGTTTTCATTAGGATTTCCCTAATTACCATGTTTACACTTCAGAGTCTGCACTGCAGAACAGCTGTGCCCTTACCAGTCTCCCAGCTGAGTCAGTGGGGGCACTGGGCTGGGGGGCACACCATGGAGCACAGATGTACAGGGGTTTGGATGCTGCTCTTTCTGGACCTGCTGCATCTTGGCTTTAAGATACTCTTTCTTTTCTTGGAGGGGATTTCCAAACTTTTCTGGTGTCATTTGTGCTTGCAAGCTTAAATCCTTCTTCCAGCTCCTGCTGAACTGATTGAGAAATGGTAGGCCACTTTCTCCTTGGGAATTCTTGCACACTGTGTTTGGGTCATTGTTTGCTCTACCTATTTGTTTGGAGAGAAAGCCAAAGTGAGCAGTTTGGTGTTGCTTTCTGCTAAGAGGCATCTGACTGAAGTGAGAGACTTCAGGACTTCTTCGCTTTATGGATGTCTTTGTCAAGGGTTTCATACTTGGCTAATGCTAACTTCCTGAAGCCTTCAAGAGAAGGTGATGGTGGTGGGAACTGCTCATCCTGCTTTCTGGACATAGCATACATACACGAGTAAGTATTTTCCCTTCTGCTTTTCTAAGAGTGTAATACGTTCCATATGCTGCATTACAAAAAGTGCATTCCAATTTATCTTAATCTTTTACAGATTTTAAAGAACAAGGAAGCATCTGCACGTAAGGCATATTCAGATCTAATGGCACAGCAAAATAGCACAGCTGATGAGAATAAAAAGCTCATGGGAAAGGTGAAAACACTTGAGGAGATGTTGGAGAATATGAAGAAACAAAAAATCCGAGTGGAACAGGAGCTCCCTAAAGTGAGAGAAGCTGCAGAAAAAGAGCGGAAGAAGCAGCAAAAGGAGATGGAGGAGATCTGTCTTCAGAAGACCAAGGCTGAGCAGGAGGCAAAGCAGTGTCGTGTAAATCTAGAAAGCATTGAGAGAGAGAAAGCAGATGCAGAGCAGGAGTTGGAGTGTGTAAGGCAGTTCATTATTCAGGCAGAGACTCAAAGAAGTATACTGGAAGAAAACCTCCGTGCTTTTCGAAATCAAATAGAAGAAAGCACCTTTACCAGAAGAAACCTTGAAGAGCTCCTAAGAAGAAAAGATACAAATCTTCACGATTTAGAGAAACAGAAAAACACCTTGATGCAGGAACTGAAGAAAAAAACAGATGGAGAAGAGAAACTTATGAAGCTCATCAAGCAAATGGAACAAGATCTTGACTTTAAAGGGAACCTATCAGAAATAAAGCTACAAGAAAGAGAGAGAACTGAATCTGGAAGGAAGGTTATTGAAGGCACATACTCTGTAACTAGAGAAACTTCCCTGCCAACTTTCACAGCTGGGCAAGGTAGCCAGTGTAGGATTGATTCTGAAATTATGAGTTTCCAGAAGAAACTAGAAGCTAAAAAAGTAGAAGAGCTCAAACAAAAGATAGATGAGTTGACCCTTGCTAACAAAAAAGCCGATAAAACTATTAAAGACCTGAAATACGAACTGACTGAAATTGAGCTTCAGAAATCATCAACAGAAGAAAAGTCTCGTTTGTTAAAAGAAAAACTAGATAAAGTCAACAGTGAACTTAAATGCCTAAAAATTAAGTTGGAGGAAAAAGACCAAGTAGAGCAGGGATATTTGCAACAGTTGAAAGAACTGGACAGGCAGCTTCAGAGAACCACAGGTAAAGCCGAAGAGGTGATGCAAGAAAATATGGATCTTAAAAAACTTAAGATGAACTACCAGGAGGACCTGAAATCTGTTCAGCAAGAAAAGATGCAGCTAAAAAGAGAAATAGAGGAATTAACCAGATCACAGACAAAAACGGAAATCACTATCAAACATCTAAACTCACAAATCAGTTCCCTTCAAAAAGAGAAGCTGGCAGCTGAACACAGAACACAGTCATGCAAAGGAGAAGCAAATAATCTTCAAGACCAATATAAGAAAATTAAAGAACAGTTGCTTCAAAAAACAAAAGTAGAGAAAGAAAACCAGCATGAAATTCAGATGCTGAAGAATGAATTAACCAAAAGCAATCAGGTTTCAGAAACATTGAAACAACAGATAGAAGACCTTAATAAATGGAACACTGAAACAAAACTACTGATGAAGCAAATTCAGTCTGAATCAGAGAAGATGGCTTTGGAAAAACAAAATATTCAGAGGAAAAACGATGCATTGAAAGCCCTAGCAGATGGTTTCAAAGAACAGTTGCGTACAACAAATGAACAATTGCACAAACAAACAATAACTGAGCAAGAATTCATATGTAAAATCAAAAGCCTAGAAGTTGATCTTGCAAAAACAAAAGACTTAGCTAGCGACTATAAACAAAAATGCGATAAACAAAATGCTTCCACCCTTAGCACTGACCGGGAGCTTAAAAATTTAAATGCTCAGATGAATGCTCTAACTTTGGAAAAGAGAATGAGTGAGCAGAAGATAGCACTACAGCAAGCTCATATACAAGAACTAAGTAGCAAATTAAAAAAATTGCAGGATGAACTCCACCAGAAGACTCTGGATGAACAGATGGCACGCAAGAAGATGATTCTATTTCAGGAAGAATCCATTAAGTTTAAACACTCTGCAGAGGAATTTAGGAAAAAAGTTGAAAAATTACTGGAATCCCATAGCATCACAGAAAAGGACATATCTGGTATAAAATTAGAATGTGTTGCTCTTCAGCAAGAAAAGCATATGGCTGAGGAAAACATCATGTTGTACAAGAGGCAAATGGAAGATCTGCAAGAAAGGCTTAAAAAATGTCATGAACAACTACAGCAAGGGAAGCAGGCTGAAATGGACTATCACCAGAAGTGCAGGAAACTCGAGGAAGAATTGGAAGCACAGAAGCGCATGGTTGAGAGCTTGAAACAGAAGATGGATCTGCAGGTCAGGGAGAGTGAACACAGGCTTCTTTCATTGCAGAATGAAATTCAGCAAAATAATAAACTTCAGGATTCTGGATTTAAATTGAGCTGTGAGAGAAGAGGAAATGATTTCAATTACCTGAGTGAGACTGCAGCTAAAGAATTTGAACAGCTTCCTCCACGTGCAAAACCAAGCTCACCTTTGTTAAGGAAGAAACAGGAAAGATCAGGTTTTAAATCGGATCAAATAGAAGAAAATACATTGTATGTGAGTGCTGATGATACAGTACCAAGAGAGGTGCAATTTCAGATGTCAAGCATAAACCAATCACTAGAAGATTCAAGTTCCCAGTCATTTACAGAGTTTGTTTCACAGATGAGTACACAGTTCCAGATAACTTTTGATAAAGCAAGCCAAATCTCTGGAACATCTGAAAGGGACATACTGAGAAACAGGAACCTACACAGTTCCAGACAAACCATTAGACATGGAGAAGACGCACAACATGAATTAGGAGTGGTAAAACTGCATCCCTTGGAGGTACACGCTACATTTTGTGAGGGTTTGCCTTCCTAACAGTGCCTTTTGGTCCATTTGGTTCGTTGGTTTTGGTTATGCTTTATTACTATTCTGTTTAGTATTTCTTATGTCCCTACCTTGGTGAAGGGAACCACTTCTGTCTTACATAACACAAAAAGCTTTATATTAGACCTTACTACCAGGTTTGTTAATGTCTAAGAGATTATTCTAAAAATTTGTATTGAAAATAGGAATTCACATACACTGTTGTATCTTTATTGGTCAAAGTAAGCTTTGATTAACAAGCAGTAAGCTCATATAATAAGAGACAACGGTTGCTATTGTTTAGTCTAGTCATATTCCTATTATTGAATAAATATTTGAAATGGAAAATGCACTTCAAAACTCAAGCCCTTTATATATCTCTGCTCGCCAGTCCTAGTAGCGTTTCTCCTTTCTGACTTGCATTCAAGTTCTTCCTTTGGTTTCTCTGGTGGTGGATTTAGGAGTGAATTATATACAGCATAGTCTGCAGTTGTATTTCTCACTGTGTCAAAAACTTCCTATTTGCAGATAGTGAAGAACAAGCACTATGACATGCATGTTGAAGTCACAACATTAAACCAAGAAAATGACAAGACTTTTGGTAATGAAGAGAGAATGTTTCAGGGATTCAAAACTTCCGAAGGGCTTAGGAAAGAAGACTTTGCAAAGATGAGCTCTTTCTTAGGAGAAGAGGTTTTGAGAACTGTTGATGATGCTACTCAGCTGGAATATTTTACAGAGGAATATGATGCTATTAAATTTCAAGGTCTCCGACATGATGTAACTGCCAGGCAGTTGACTGAAGTTAAACTTTTAGACAGGCTCACTGTTGAGCAGCTCATTTCAGGGCAGAAAACTATTGATGAGGTTCAGAAAAGTCTTGAAAAGTTTTTAACTAAACCTACAGCTATAGCTGGGCTGTACCTTGAATCCAGCAAAGAGGTACTCTCTTTTGCTTTAGCAGTAAAGAGAAAAATCATAGGAAAAGCACTGGCCTTAGCATTTTTAGAGGCCCAAGCAGCTACTGGTTTCATTATTGATCCCACAACAGGTCAGAAATGCTCTGTTGATGATTCAGTTGTTAGAGGGCTTGCAGATAGCGAATTCAAGAGTAGACTGCTTGAGGCAGAGAAAGCTGTTTTGGGTTATTGCTGTTCTGGGAAACTGCTGTCTGTATTTCAGGCTGTGGAAGCTCAACTTTTAGAAAGACAAAGAGGTAAAAATATCCTTGAGGCTCAAATTGCATGTGGGGGCGTTATTGATCCTGTAAGAAGTGTTCGTGTACCTCCAGAAGCCGCTGTGCAGCTTGGCTTGCTTAATAACACAATTTTAAAATTTTTGCATGAACCTTCAAGTAATGCAAAATGTTTCCACAATCCAAATAACAGGAAAGCTATGTACTACTGTGATTTGCTGAAAATGTGTTTGTTCAGTGTAAGCAGTAAATGCTTTCTCCTTCCAGTTGGTGAAAGGAAAATAAGCAGCCCGTCAGCAGAGAAAAGTCATAAAACCTCTGTAATAAGTGTTGACACAGGAACTGAAATGACTTCATATGAGGCTTATAAAAAAAATTATATTGATAAAACTACATATCTTGAGCTTTCTAAACAGGAATTTGATTGGAAAGAGTCTACGTGTTTTGACTCTGATGGAAACTCTTTTCTTTTGCTTACAGATCTTAAAACAGGTATACAGTTTAATATTGAAGAGACCTTAAATCAGGGTAGAATTGACAGAGCATTAGTCAACAAATATAAGGAGGGCCTCATCACAGTTAATGAGTTTGGTGATATTTTAGTTAGCAGTTCACAGCCAAATAAAGATTTAAACAGTCCTATTGCAGGGTTCTGGCTTTCTGAAACCAATGAAAGAATTCCAGTCTTAAAAGCCTCACGCAAAAATTTGGTAGACAGAGTTACTGCCCTCCGATGCCTTGAAGCTCAGGTTAGTACAGGAGGTGTAATTGATCCATTTACAGGGAAAAAGTACAGTGTTTCAGAAGCTTTGCAAAGAGAGCTAATAGATGATGGTTGTGCCAAGCAAATCCAGCAGTGTGAGCTGATCTTTACTGGGATCATTCATCCTGTAAGGAACACTGTTATGTCAGCTGTTGACGCTGTGCATTTAAGTGCCATAGACAAGGAAATGGGCATGCGCTGCCTGGAGTATCAGTACTTGACTGGTGGCTTGATAGATCCAAAATCTCATTCCAGATTAACAATGGAAGATGCAATTAAGAATGGTATTATTGATGCTATCACAGCTACAAAGATGAAGGATGAAAAATTGCACATTAAAGCTTTAACATGCCCCATGACTAAGAAGAAGATAACCTACAAAGAAGCTTTAGATAGAGCTGTTTTTGATTGCCACACTGGGCTGCGGTTGTTAGAAGCAGCTCAGCCCATGAAAACAGGAATTTCCAGTCTTTACTATAATTCATAGTGGACAGAAGATACTAGGACTCACTTTGGGCTCTGCTTTAAAACCTGTTAAAGTTAAGGAAAATATCTGTGATGACCTTTATGGAAAATCATAAGTGGTGTTTTCTGCCATTAATTAGTTGCTGTAAAACTAATTGTTATGAACAACTAATTAGCATAAACCACTGAAACTGGAATTAAGTAAGATATTACTTATTGCAAAACTGACATTTATAGATAGGCAGATTCATAATTTCAAAATGCAATCTATGTGTTCAGTCTTTACCTGGAGGCCTTGTCTGCCATTACCTTTAATGTAGGTAGTGTAAATGAGAAATTATACTGAGGTTAAGTTAATATTAGTTCAAAGGGGGTAGATTTAGGTGACATATTAAAGATTGAAAGGGGTTGCCCATTTCGTGAGTGAACACAGTGTAGTATTTCACGTGACCTGTTACTTAAATTACAATTACAAACCAGTTTGCAGATACCATTTGTTTTACAAGAGGGGCAATGAAATATGCAAGGATTAGATCTGCAGTACAGTAAGCACACCTGCATCAGTAGTTTTTCTCAACTGCTATTTCATTAATTTTAATGGGCTGTTTGCACCAAAACCTTGTGTTTCCTGTCCTGAGTTTTCCTCTTATTTCATGTTATTTTTTTCTTAGAATTGTTTTCTGCTCTAATAGGCAAATGAATTACAATTACATATAAAATTTTTTAAAAATTCATTGAAATAAAATGTTTTCATTTTTACTTATGGTACATGGAAGGGCTTAAGCAAGTTTTCTCAGTATTGAGAGTCCACCTATCAGATTGTACTAAGATGAAAAGGAGTATGTTTTCCTGTGCAGAAAAAGATTAAAGTCTCAGTATTTTACTCTTATTTTTTCTTGTTTCTGTAGACATAAAAGCAATGTATTTTTCCTAATTGTATTTTGGTAATCCATGTGCATAATGTGCAGAATACTATTATGCTATACTGGTTTTACATATCCTTACCTGAGGGTAATGCAAAGGCAGCAATTCAAAGACACTTTATATGCAAATGCTTTTTAGATTTTATCTGCTGAGTAATGGCTGGGATGCAAAGCTTTTTCTTGCTATCAATAATTTTATGATGATTGTATGTGTGTATGAATAAGCACCTTTATCATAATTAAAAATCACTTGAGGTATTATTTTGTTATTGTTTATAATTATGTGGCATTTTTGTTCCTCCGTCAAAGTGTCATAGTAATGGATGTGGTGATAAATAAAAAAGAAATAATTTTATGTTTGTGGTGATAATAATGACATTGTGATAGAATTGTGTTTCTACAGACATTAATGTTACATATTTCAACAATTCAAATTTACGTGTTTCTTTACAATTCATGGCACTCATCAGAAATCAATGGAAGAGGAAAAGAAGGAGCATGTTGAGAAAGCTGGGGATTTACTGAAATGGGTGTCAAACCTCAGCAAGACACTCAGCAAAGAAGAAGGAGAAAAGGCTGAAAAGACAGATTTACCTAAGCAGCAGGTACACATGTCTTTTGATAAAGCACCACTTCCTCTTTTTAGGCTTTTGCATGGATTAAAATGCCAAAATAATCCATGAATACTTTTTTTTTCCCCCTACAAATCACCATCCACATTTTACTCAGGACACAATTTCACATTTGGTTGTGAGTAGAGAGTTGGGTAAATAAACATCAATGTTTAGGGACACAAGCATGTTACTCAAGAAGAAGCCTCCAGTGTTTTTTACAGACCTAGCATGTGACATATTCTGACACTGCAAAATATCAGTTTAGAGAAATTGGACCCTGCACACCGTATCTCAGCCTTTGTAGAGGGAAAGTGCATCCTGTCAGGATGGCATTTTGGGCACCAGGAAGGAGAAAGCTGGTAGGAGGGGCCTGAGGGCCAAGTTTCTATTATTTTCTTTTGAAAATTAATCTGAGGGGTCCTCTTAAGGGATAGTCAAAACTGCTGTCCTAGGAAGTACAGCAGATCTTAACTGAGGTCTCTGTTACCACGCTACTCCACAGGCTGTTGGGATGGCCCATCCTGATGCCTTTGTATTTAACAAGACATTGTCACTGTGTGCATTGTAACTCTGACCATAAATTTCCATCTGTGAAGTTTCCTGTCATTTCTAGGCCCTCCCCTGCTGGGTTTGCCCCATGAAATAGCTTAGTTACACCCCAAAAGGTTTCAGTAGGTGAAGGCTGACCTGCACACTAAGCTGCAGAGGGACAGTGTCTTGTCCACATCCCTCAGTACAGCACTGGATGTGTCATCATGCAAACATGATTTTTGGCCCTCTTGCCATCCTGTTCCTGTCTTCTTATTTTGGTGATACTTTCTGGTGCAAGAGCCACTGGACCAGCATGTGCATAAATCCAGCTTGCTGTTGGGAAGGATGGCAGTCCTGCTGACCACTGCTCTGGCATGTAGCTTGTTCAGAGAGGACTAGTGCTAGCTCTGAGTTTGTCCCTATATCTACAGGAGGAAGTAAGATTGTACTGATTTGGACATATTGATTGGTAAATTGCTAGTAGTTAAAATCAGGATTTGCAAAAGCATTCACTGCTGGTTCTTCTGCCCCTGTTAATGACTACACTGCAAACCTTTATCAGTGTTGGGCCAGCACTTAACTCCTTAGGGCATCTCAGCTTGCCATAGCAACTGTGGGTGTCATCTCTGTCTAGCCTGTGCCTCCAGTGAGTAACCTGTGAGTTGGCTGTCTTGGCTTCCTGTGGGAGATGGGTGTTTGCTGAGGGTCTTTGCTTCCCTTGTGAAATGGCTGGCGAGGTAGCTGCACCTTTCAGAGGTGCCTGGGTTTGTGTCTCCACTGACTAGCAGTGATGCCATGACAAGTTGTGTAGAAACATGTGGAAACCAGTGATTTAGCTAGTGATTTAGAAAGTGGTCAATAGCTAGTGTCAGCTGAAATACATGTCACACAGAGGGTTGGGGTTGCTGTGGGGTGTAGCCAGGTACTGGGAAGAGAAGCTGATGCCAGTAGTGACAGGATGTACACAGCAGGCACAGTGACACTGGTTCCCTGAGTAAAGTGGATCTTGTCATCCCATCTGCTATCTCAGCCTGTTCCCCTCATCTTCTCCTGGTTCTCCTGGTTCCTGTGCAGGCAGTACAAGTGATGAGATTGTGGCTTGCTGGTGGTGATTGCAAAGGGAGACTTTTTGGGCCCTTTGATTCGATGCATGCAAGGACAGATTGGTTGTGTCCAGACCCAAGTGGATGAGGGGTCCAAGCACCTTGCTTGAGACTGAGCACCTATGTTGAAAATATCTCCAGCTTGCAGAACTCCCTTTTGATAATTTGCCTTTATTTATCCAAAATTAGTGCTTTTCTTTTAAGAGACTGTAGGGAGCTTCTCAGGAAAATTATAAGATGAAATCCCCACAAGTTCCTCTACCAGAACAAGTCCTTGAGTGAGGATGACACAGAACTGATAGTGTGGAGAATATTAATTAATAATTCGTTTTTGCCAGGTGTCTCATATTGCATTTGTCTCTGTTAGTGAATTTCATGAAGCCTTGTGGTCTTTTCAAAAATTTGTTATCTCTCATTTTGGCGAGCAACTTCTTGAACATGACTATAGTACACAACCTTTATAAAGCTGCTATAAACTGTGCCAACTATAATATATGATTTTAAATTATTGATTAATTTTTCATCAAATAACATTTTGAAATATTTTGTTTTGCCCAATAGTTTTCTGAAAACAGCTTGCTTAATCAAAAGGCATATCACAATGACTTACTTATATGTAAATGATACCATTCCTATAAGTAATATTGCTCTAAGGAGAGCCAGTATTTTTTAAAAATCAAGCTCTTATATTATTGAGATAAGTCCCAGATATAAATAAGTTTCTGTTTGTTTTTATTTATGTACATTATTATATCTTGAACACGGGTTATTTATTTTTCAGATTTTCCTGCATGAAATGTCAACCAAGAAAGAACAAATAGCTGAAGCTCTGCAGACTACTCAGTCATTTTTAGCTAAGCACAGTGATAAGTATGCCATTTTTTGTTTCTGAAATCATGTAAATTAATTGAATCAATACATACTCTTTGCTTAAAAAGAAATCATATCCTTATAGTTCTAATTGCATTTCACCTACATTTTGGGGTTTTTTTGTCTTCCCATTTGGTGAAGCTTGATGCAATTTTGTTTATTTCAAGAATCTGACTTTGTATGCCTCTGGTCATCTTAAAAATATTAGATATTTAAATTTTCATTTGAAATCAAAATAAATAATAAATTTGTAGTAAGTTTGTACTTGAACTACCTACCGCAAGTTTGTTTCATCTGCGTCTAAAACCGGATGGTTTAAATTACTAAATTGCTGAGATATCTCATGACTCCTGGCTGGTTACATTACTTGTCTTGACTGGTAATCAGTAGACAAAGGCCCATGCAAAGGCCCATTCTTTTCTTGAATAACTGCAATCAGATTGTAGCTTTCTTGAACATCTTTGTTATTAGGCTGTATTTTTTCCTGACTACTTGTCTGGAATTGTACTAATATCTACTTGCCATTTTTGAGTAAAGGTAGGCAGACCACTCCCAACAAGTGACAAATTACCCAGCGATCTCCTTCTTCCATTTTTTTTCATAACAGAATGACAGATGAAGAGAGACATGAAATGGAAAAGCAAGTTAGATCTCTCCAGGAAAGCTACAGCTTGTTATCCAACGAAGCTTTGAAGCAGCTGCAGGAAGCACATATGGGCGATGAAAAGATGGAAGAAAAGGTAACAAGATTCAAACTTAGATTTCAGTTTCTCTTGAGATTTACTGCATGGTTTTTCAAACAACACATAATCAGCAAAACAAGAAGCTGCAATTAATAATGTGTGGAAGGAACTTGATATTTAATTGATTGAAGGTGGTGTGTATTTGCTATGAAATACTGTATGTGACCATACCTGTGCACATGAGCATTCTATTCATCAGACTTCTTTTGTGAAGAGTCTTAATAATGTGTGCCTTGCATGAAGAAAGATAAGCAAATCATTCATCTCTTAACTTTTCTCTTAAAAGCCATTCTTTGACTGCTAGATAAATCTGCGTTTCTGCTGCAAAAATGACACCATAAAATAACATGTGACTCTCTCCCATATATCACTCTGAGATGTCCTAGAAGTGATCTACTTTCAGTTTTTCTTAAAATTTTTCTGGGTATGAAAATGGGAGGACATAATACAATTAGCTCTGAGATACTATATTTGTTAATGAATATTAGTTTTAAATATGGAGTATTCTCATATACACATAGAAGCAGAGTCTGTGTAATGAATTCAAATAATGTTGCCAAACTGACTTCATGCTTTCCATGCAAACTAAATGCAATATTTGTTGCTAGAGTATCTGATTCCATATTGTTGAGTGTATATACAGAAATGCTGTATGCTGTAAACATGAATAGCATGGTTGTGTTGAATCACATACTGTTTCCAAATATTCTAACCTTTCACAGACATTTATAGCATGAAAATGTGCCTTTAAGGAATATGTTCTATTTGCCCTCTCTGCAATCATTTCTTCTATTGTCTTCCACTAACCCTATTTATGTATGCAAAGCATAGGTTTTCAATTCACAGATGCATGTTGGTTTTAAATCTTTTATCACATCATGTGCTGTTGAATGACTGACATAGATCACTTGCGCATTTGAGCTGCTAACATTCACAACATTCCTCCTGGCCTGGTAAGTACATGTTTTTATGCTTATCATGCATTTAAAATCAAAACGAAATTTTAAACGTACAGTCCAAAGATAATGATAGCTTTTATTTTATATTCCCTTTTAGGTGAATAAAGTCATTGCTGGTGTCATTGACCAAACAACTGGAGAAGTCCTTTCAGTCTTTCAGTCTATTTTAAGAGGTTTTCTTGACTATGACACTGGAATTAGATTGCTTGAGAATCAGCTGATTCTTTCTGGAATAATTTCTCCAGAGTTAGGAGTGTGTTATGATTTGGAAGAAGCTAAAGCCCATGCCTTAATTGATGAGCAGATTCTGTTGCAGCTGCAAGAATTAAGTAATGCAAAGAAGCTTTTGTCAGAATCATCATTAGCAAATATTCCAGTTGTTTCAGCTTTAGAACAAGGTTTGATTTCAGAACCTCTGGCTGTTAAAATTCTTGAGAATCAGCTTTCAAGTGAGTATTTGATTTTGCCATCTACTGGAGAAAAACTGTCTTTGCAGAATGCTTTCCAGAGAAATCTCATTTCTCCAACATTATATTCAAAACTCCTGGAAAGACAAGATACGTGTAAAGATCTCATAGACCCCAACTGTGCTGAGAAAATTTCCCTTGAACAGATGATTCATAGAAGCATAATACATGAAGCAACAGGTTTAAGACTCCTATCTGTGAAACCACAAGAAAAAGGGAGAATTGTGCTCAAATGTGGAAGGAGGGTAACTGTTTTGAGGGCAGCCCACGAAGGGCTCATTGACAGGGAAACAATGTTCAGGCTGCTGGGTGCTCAGTTAATGTCTGGAGGTATCATTGACCCTGACTCAGGGAAGAGAATGACTGTGGAAGAGGCCATGGGACAAGGGATGATAGATCAGGACACTGCCTGTGGGATCTTCACACATCAGGTTCAGACTGGTGGAATCCTTTGTCACAACTCAGGACAACGCTTGACTGTTGATGAAGCTGTGCAGTGCAACTTAATATCATCTACCAGTGCTCTGCTGGTATTAGAAGCACAGAGAGGCTTTGTGGGACTAATTTGGCCTCATACTGGTGAAATATTCCCCGTATCAACTTCTTTGCACCAAGATATGATTACAAATGAGCTGGCATTCAAAATACTGAATGATAGAAAGAAAATAGCTGCACTTTACATTCCAGAAACTTGTGAAATAATCAGTCTTGATAAGGCTGCAGAATCAGGGATAATAGACAGTAACACTGTATCTGTTTTGACCAATGTGATTTTACCAGATAAAATGCCCAATGTAGAGGAATTAAAGTCCTCTTGTAAAAATGCTGCAAAATGGTTATCAACTTATGAATTTCTGCCATCTGTATTTCATGACTGTGAGGGGGAATATGAAGATTCTGGCACAGAAGACCCTGTATGTCATAATCTAGATCAAGCTAAGAAAATATTCATGTCTTACCTGATGGTAAATAGTTATATGGATGCAAACACTGGACAGAGACTTTTGTTATATGATGGACAACTGCAAGAAGTCATCAGTATGTTGCTGGAAGTTGATAGTGCTGGGTACAATGCTTGTGTGTCAGAAATGGAATTTAGTAACAAATATGTAAGCTCAAAAGGAATTCACCTAAAGTCAGCAGATAATGTTCAGGGTGATCTTTCAGGTGTTGAGAATTCTTGTAAAAACAGGAAATGTATTCAATTTGATGATTTTGGGAATTACGTATCTTCACAAGAAGATCTCCATGTGTGCAGGCCAGATGTTTGCAATGCTCTTGGTACTGAGCAATCAGAATATACACAGGAGATCCTGTTAAATATCCCTGCAGAACTCAGAAATGTAGTAGGCAGCACTCAAAATTCCATGAAGAGAAATGAACTCAGAGGTTTTTTGGAGGTTTCTGGGTGGACAGAACTCTGTAAGCATAACAATCAGCAGACAAATTCAGGAAACATTGAAGGGTATCTTCCAAATGACTCGAATATGACACTTTTATCACAAACAGCAAAAGAAGGGATTTGTGTGGGAGACAGTCTGGATAATGAAAACATGAGTGATAAAACATTACAAAATTCCTTGTGTGTGAATGATTTGTCAAATAACGAAACATGGAAGGAGCTGGAAAGGTGCACGGAATATGGGCCTCACATATTTCAAGCTGATAGTAGCAGAATGGTACTGGATAACAGCACGAAAGATAATTTTCAGAGACATCTTGGTTCATCCATCAGTGCAGAAACTGAAGATAGGCTTCCAGAGGAATTGGTTAGTCAATGTGGTGTCACACTGAAGTTTGAAGACAATAGATATGGTGCACAACTTCTCCAGGAATATGCAGGTCCATCCCTAGAGGACTGTCTTTATATCCATGGAAGGTCATCCCTGGAGGATTGTACTGATTTTCGGAATGAACTGTGTCTAGAAGACAGCACAGGCATGCACCATAGGCTTTCACTGGGTGGTGATACTGTCATACATGATGGACCACCTCTGGGGGACAGTAACAGCAAAGCACAAAGGCTGGCAGTAGAAGAAAGTGATCTTATATTCCACAAGTTACTGCCGTGTGACAGTAGCTCTGACTCATCAATAGAGGGGGATGATGGCACCCCACAGCTTGAGAGTAGCTGCCTGCAGCATGCCTGTGGTGAGGTAGCCTCTGAAGAGGACAGCTCTCAGTTGGATGATGGTGATGATGAAGCCTATGAAACACCTCAGGGTGACAATGATGACAGTGATGTCTATGATACTCCACAAATGGATGATGATGTTTCCTCTGACACTTCTCAAGGTGATGAGGGGTTTGATACCTTGCAGTTGGGGGATGATGATACACCAGAGCCAGAACTGGCTGGAAGATCAGTTCCATTAGGTTTTCTGGAGGAGAGAGGTGGTAGAATAGTCCTAAGAGAAGAGACCAGCTCTTTTCAAGAATTTGCAGTTAATGCTGAAGAGAATGTTCATGTAATTGTGAAAGGGAAACCTGAGAGCATAGCTATAGCTTCTGCAAATGCCAAAACTATGGGAAAAGTCCCTGAGGAAAAGGAAAGAACAGGGGGTTTTGGAGAGAAGGAGCAAGAGTTACCAATTACTGTCGAAAGTGAAGGAAGAAAGGAAGAAGGCATGAGCTATTTACGGAGTATGTATGAAGCAGTTGTACAAGACAGAATTCAGGAAGTTGAAATGAAAGCAGAAGGTGACCCGTGTGAGGAGGAATCTGAAAGTACACAGGAGGGGGAAGATTATGAGGAGGATTATGATAGTTATGATGACTCTGACACTGATTCTGACAGTGAAGATGAAATGGATATTTTTTATTCACATCATCAATGCATAAGTAAAGGTGACCAGCTGTTAATGTCTGCAGAAGATGTAGAAAGGAGCAATGAAAACAATCAGAATATTGATGACTGCTGCTATTCTTTAGGCCACAAGACCGGCTATATTTTGCAATTCCAGTCTAACCATGAAAATGGAAAACTATCCTCATCAATATGTGAATCAATGTCAAATATTTCTGAAGAAAGATTTGTTGGTCTTTCATGTACCAGTGAAGAAGACACACAGCAGGAAACAGAAGATGAATATGGGATTTGTGTCAAAAGTGAACACAAACCACAAGATACTACGGAGCCTATTCAGTCTGAAAATACTTTTGACACTAAATGGATGTCGACAAAGAGTGAAGAGAATAATGAAACACAGTTGAGACTAGCAGGTTCTCAGCTTCTTGATGGTACTGTGAAATCTGACATCAGTGTGACAGCCTACCTACAGCAAGCTACTGATGATGACCAAAGTACCTGGAAAAATTTGCTTCTCTCAGAATGCTTTACTGATAGCATGAATAAAGACTGTAATACCATGCCAATATTAGATTCAAATCATAGACAAAGACAGAGAGAGGCACTACTTGCAGAGGGAAATGTATTAAATTATATGGAACAACTAAAGGAAAGTTCATCCCAAATGGACAATAAATTCCTTACAGATACCTCTCATGTGGGTGATAATAGTTCACTTAGGGAGCCAATACATCTAGTCACCAGTTGGAATCATAGTCAAATAGAAAGAGGTTTTGAAATTCTTACAGAAAATAGAAATAGAGTAAATATTATGGAGGAATGTGATGTCATGGGGCTAAGTAATAGTCCCATTCAGATGGAAAATCTTGGGGAAATATTTGATGCAACAGTAATTAAAGCTGCTAGAGAAACTCCTGTTGCAAGTAAAGAAAAAGTAAATGTTGATCAAGCTTTTCTTGCCATTCAAGGTGCAAGATCAGATGAATTTAAGAGAGATGTTAACATTTCTGCTTCTTTAAAACAATATACAACATGCATAAAAGAAGGTGGCCATTCAGAATTCAATAAAACTGAATTCTGTTTTGAGAACATGGAAAGGGGGGAAAAGGATATATGGAATGAAAAGGATTTTCTGCTAAATGCAGAAGAAATGCATTCAAGTGAATTTAACACTTACTCTTTTCCCCCACCTGATACAGTGAAACCAAAGGAGATTAGCATAACTAAAGAAACAGGGAGAATCAACTGTCAAAATACTGACAATGTTCTTAAAGACATTCCAGAAAACAAAAGCAGCAATGATAGTGAAATTTTTCCCACAAAACCAGATGCTTTAGGAAGTATTGAGGATGCCAAAGAATTAGGGAGTGGAAGTGAAGTGCTGCCTACTGGGAGACATACTCACACCACTGATGTTTCTTCTGCAATTCTGAGCAGCACAGGGACTAAGTTGAATTACAGTGCCCAGAAGGAACATGAGATGCTGAAAAACACAAAGGGAGAAAATATCATGTTCAGTGAGACTTCCTCCTTTGGAAATAGTTTCAAAAAACAAGTGTCCATGGAGTCATTGCAAAAAGAAATGGGACCCTGCAAAGATTTTCAAGTAAAAGAAGGTATTTCACAACCAGCAGATGTGCCTGACACACTAATGGAAGACTTACAGAATATATTACAAAGGAAATTGAAAATGGGACATATTTATTGCAAGCAGGAAGGCGAACCCCTAAGTTACTCTGATACCAGAACTTTAATGCAAAATTTACTTAAAATGGTTAGAAGCACTCAGCTTGCGAGTGAAATTTCTAGTGGGTCAAATCTGAAGCAAATGAGCAATGCCATTAGAACTGCATTAATGGTCACCAAGCTGTGTACAGAGCCCAAGGACAGTGATGCTCCTTCACTGCTTTGGCCTGATTGCAGAAGTCCTGATCTTCTGCACGATATTCTGAAGCAGGAGTCCTGCAAACAAAAGACAGCTGATGCAGATGAAAGGAAGAGTGAAACAGACATGAAAGCTCCTGTTCCCAAGCTTGCTACTGCTGAACTTCTGGAAATTTTTCAAACTGCACTTGGAGATGAAAGTACAAGCAAGTTAGAGGAGCTGATAAATGGTTTGCTTATGAGCTCACAGGGTGCTGGTACCACCACAGAGCATGAGGGTAAAAGCAAAGGAGATGGGCTTTATTCTCTTTCCTCAACAGAGCAATCAGAACTTGGGTCAGAAACTGAAGAAGAGAAAACATTGGCAGATAACACAACCACTACTTGGAAAAGTGATCAGGAGCATGGGAAGACAGAAAGCCTGTCCAAAGGCTTGACTGAGCCTGTTTTGAAGACAAAAGAAGCAGTCGTGGGAGACATCCCCACTAGCATGGTAAGTAACGAATATGTGCTCAGTGTCCTGTGTTAACGGAATTGCATGGATCTTTCTGAGTGTTGGAGAGAACAATTGAACTGGAAAAATGGCTGAAAAATTAGACTATAAATTTAAAATAAATCATAATAAGCCCAAGGACTTTTATTGCTTATTTTCAAGTCAGTTTGGAAAATATTTTCTTATTTTTAAAACTCATTTTCAGTTTGATGGAGTACAGCAGTGTTTAAAGTTAACAGAGACAATGCAAGAACATTTGGCAGTGCTTCAAGATATGAAAAACCACCTAGATAAACAACAGCCTATTAGTAACAGCCTGGAAATACTAAAAGCTGAACTGGAACAGCTAGAGGTAAGTAAAGTGTTCTTTATGCTTGCATTTCAGTGATGGGTGCTAGAAATAGCCCTTAGGTTTCAAAAGAGGTATCAGAAATGTAATTAAAACAATTCAGATTTACACATTTTTTTCCTATCAACTTAATGCATTTTTTGTATATTCTCTTTGTAGTCATTTGAATCAGGACTGGCTACCTTTGCAATTATCCTAAAAAAGGACATGAAGTTGGCAGAAGAATTCTTAAAGTCTTGTAACAGGGATATTCCTGAAGAGAATATTAAAGAGCTGAAGATAAGCTATGACTCTCTCCAGGAAGCATTTTCGGAAGTCTGTGACAGATCTTCAAAACGAGCAAAACAAATAGTCTGTGCTGTTGACTTGGAAATGGTATGTTTTTGTCAGTGTATGTTTTTACCTTGATTTTTTCCAAGGTGATTGGGCTAAAATAAAGGAATTTGGCTTTTCTTTATTTTATCTTAATATAAAGATACATGTATGATTCAATATTATATGGTAGAAAATGTGACTAGACTCCAGGAGCATAAATAAATATACAACTTCCCTTTCTAGTCTAAGCTTGCAGGATTACATCAGCAACTTCTAAACCAACTTCAGAGATTTTCAGACTGGATCACAGAGAACAATAAAATCATGAATGACTTCACAATGAATACTAACGATATAGAAGAGATGAAGAAAAGTTTACAGCTATTTAAAGTAAGTGCTCTTTATGGCAGGTGTTGATGCTTCTGGCAAAAGTTGCTCCTTATTATTAATTATTAGCTAGGTTTTTAATTCCTTCTCATTAACTTCTATTGCCTAAAGAGATGAGTAGAAGTAATTATTTAAGAAGACAACTATTTGATTATCCAGTAATAAAATCTTGTTGATTTGCTTTTTCACTTGCACAAAAAGTTTCATAGAGTTAGGATTGCTGAGCTATTGGCTATTGGCTCTACTTACATTTGTTACAATAAATCTGAGCCTTTTAGAAATCTAATTTATAATACAAATATTTCAGTGATTAAAATTGGGTTTTTATGCATTGGGTTCAGAATCTTTGCTGAAGTTTAATTGTCTTCCAAATCACTTATGTGTGAGAACACAAGATAGGAAAAGATAAAAAGGTATCTTCATTACACACTCCATATAATGAGTAATGGAAAACAAAGCACATCAGATTTTTAGGTAAAGTTCATTTACTTCTATATGTATAAATAATAAAAATTATTTAGATTGTTTTTGTGGTTTAAAATTGTTTTAATGTGCTTAAATAAAGTTCCAGAGAAATGGTATGGCCATAGGGGCTTCACAGTATGTAGCTGTTGGCAGAATTTGCCACATTGCTAGAAATGGTGACATTCTTGCTGTGGAGTTAAGAATAGGAATGGTTTCAAGTATATATTTTAAAATTTCTCATTCTCCAGACCTAGAACCTAGAAATGTTACATCTAACCTGCCATAAATCTTTTAGAGCTGAAGGTCAGTCAGTTTTCAAACATCCACGAGAGAGCAAAGAAATAGAGATGTACAAGATCACATACTGAAAGAGTCAGTATGATTCTGAGTTTTGATTTTCCACAGCTAAAGTGTCTACCAAAAGCATTCTGGAATAGGGGCTGAGAAGAGATGGTAGGGATACTTGTGGTTTATTTGTACTCAATTTTTCTTTGTTGCTAATAATTCCCTTCACTTCATTTACAGAACAGTGCTGCAGAGCTCAGCTGTAAAAAAATGCAACTGGAGTCCACTGCATTTGATGTTCAGTTCTTCATTTCTGAACATGCTGAAGATCTTTCTCCTAATCAGAGCAAACAGCTGCTGAGGCTCTTAAATACCACTCAGAAATTTTTTCAGGAAGCACAGGAAGCAATAAGTTCTCAAGTGGAAAGTTTAGAGACTCAGTTACAGGCAGTGCAAGATCTGGGTGATCAGAAGGTTTGCCTTTCTGTGTAAATGTGTGCTGAATGTTTCTGTCTATGAATGAGGAATTTTAATATCAGCATGCACTATTGAGTGTATTTCTATCTTTTGCCTTTTTACTATGGATACATTTGTAGTTCTGCAAAGATGATGTTGATGAAATTTGGTGAATTATCATTTTTGTCTTTCCTTGGTACACTCACAGAAACAGCATATTAAATTAAGAACAGACACCGGTCTGCTCTTTCTAGCAATGAGAGAAGTTTACTTGAGGTTTGTCACAAGTGTTGTTTCTTCAGCAGCTGTATTGGTAATTGATCTGAGCTATATTGATCACTGAATAGGTGTGGGCACTGGGAAAACTGTGAGTAAAGTTGGGCCAGTTACTTCTTCAGCTGGCATGGCTGCAGCTGGCAAGTGTTAGCAGCCTTTGTAGAATCAAAAGAGGCTGATAAGATGCTGCAGCTTAACAGCACCCCCTCTTCTCTCATAGCAGCACTGTTAGGACTCAGAATCACCACCTCAGCCCCCATTTATGTGTAATTAAAAGTGCTTTAGTACTCTGAAGACTTTGTATTATTTTACCATTCCAAGAACATTTCTTTCTACTATATTTTGTAAAAGAAGCATAAAATTGAGTATAGGAAAGGCACAGATAGTTTTCTATGACTTTGTAACAAAAATGAGCTTGCATGTTTTGTTCTTCTCTACTGCTCAAAAAGTCCACAGTTTCTATTCAGGTAACATGTTATGCATACCAAAAAGAGCTAACTCACATTCACAACTAACCTCTGTTTTGATGTCCTTTTTTTTCAGAATTAATAGTATTTATCACAGGTTTCAAGTGCTTAAGAGACTGGATTTTCACTCCTGTAGTTTGGAGATTTCATCCTTCACATATGTGCATGGCCAGACTTCTATTGGGCAATTCCATCAAACATGGTCTCTTTTACTTACAACATATTTGAGGTTTATCCATAACGTCTGTATGTTCATCTTGCTCTTTGTACCACTGCTATCATGTTTACAGCATACTTCTAAAATTATTGCTTTGCAATATTGATGTTCAAAGATTTCTAATATCTATTAGAGTGTTGGTTCCTGAAGTAAGGATTTTTTGTCTTACTGTTCAATTGTACTTGGCTCTAATATAGGATGTGGCTGAACGGCAGCAGGAATGCAAAGAGAAGCTGCAGGAAATCTGTGATTTGCTTACACAGACTGAAAATCGACTCATTGGACAGCGACAGTCTCTTGTTATTGGAGACAGCAAGGCTGAGCTGGAACAATACCAGACCAAACAGGAGGTATGCACAATTCTGGTCAGAGAAGTTAAAGAAGGCTGAGTGCAGAGGAGAGTGACTCGGCTCTTTTGTTGAGTAACAAGACTTGTCATGTGAGAGGAGAATAAAATAGATTTGTTTGACCTACCAAAAGTAAAGGCTTAGTGGCATGCATTTAAACTGCTGCCTGTGAATACAATCCAGTATGTGCCAGTGGGAGAAGAGAAACTTCCAAATGAGGAGACACTAGAATAGGGAGTATGTGCTACACATTTCAAGAAGCAGTCTTGAAGCAGGCATGAATTTTGTTAATATATTAGCTTAAGATTGTTCCTGTTGAATGTGATAAAACCACACGTTTATTATGCTAAAATAATTTAGTCAGCTTTTTAACTGCTATCAGAAAGTGTTTATTCCTGTTCAGAGTACTTTGAAAAATGCTGCTGCTACGTTTTCTCTTGCCTGAGGCTTTCCATTGATTCACTCTAGTTTTGTTTTGAATTCTGGTTCTTATTAGTGTTTCTAGCAATCTCTTTGGTGTCCTCACGTAGCAAACTCCTTTCGATTTATTTGCTTTCCTTGCTCTTCAGCTGTATCCAGTCATCTATAAGCTTTTACTCTGTCTTGATGGATATTCAGTTTATGATAGTTTAAAGGACTGAAGGATTTGGTGCACTTCCTCCACTTAGTCCTAGTTTACTGTACTGTAGAGCTCCAGTGCTCTGTAAAAGGAGAAATTTCCTTATTCATCTTGCCTTGCTTTAACTGTCTTTGAAGTAATGCATTTAGTTTGTCAAAGTTGTTCTTATAGTCAGTCAATCATACAGACACTCCTGGGGTAGCTTTTAATGTCTATTACCTGCCTAAATGGGGTACTCATGGGGAGTGAGGAACTGATACAGCATATGTCTCTTTTTTTTTTCCATCAGCTGTTTGTGACTGCTTAGCAGACTAATTGTTATTTTCTGACTGATTTCTTTGAATCACCATTCGAAAAGTGTGTCTTAGGAAGGAATGGGGGTTAAAAACAGTCTTTTTTTATACAAGTCAGAGCTTTCATCCTCAGTGTGCTGTTTGAAAGGGAGCACAGAGATCTTGGTCACAGAAGAAGCTTTTATTGATACAGGATCCTCAGGAAATTCTTTGTAATGTACTTGCTTAAATGTTAAAATGAGCTGCAGTTTTAGCTGCAGTATTCTATAATTGCTGCAAAATCTGTAGTCTAGAATGAGGATCAAATGTTCTGTCTTGCATCTCCAAGATTGTTATGCATAAAAAGGTGAAAAATGTAATTGTTTCAGTAACTGAGGGAATGTATTCAACAGTATAATCATTACAATTAAAGCTTCTCTCAGATTATTGGGAGGCAGACTAGGAAAACTGCTTTGAGTAAATTAAAACTAAAGATCTGTCCTCTATGAAATTCAATGCAAGTAAACATTCTTGAGAAACTGAAATACTATGATTGATTACAATAGAAGAAAAAAAATTGTATGCCATTTCTGACCTGAACAAACCCAAAAAATATGGGTAAACTTTCACCCAGGAAAGATGATTGCAATTTTTCTGATGTCTGTTCAGTCAGCTTATATTCAGCAGCTTTCTGTTAGGAGACTAATGGACCAGAATTTGTCAGGAGACTCACTTTACTAACTGCAGTGTAGCAGATTTACTTAAGTCTGGATTTCTAAAAAATGTTTCTTCTGCATATATGGAAATGCAATATTTGAACTGTTAAACAAAGGGAAAAAAGCAGCTTCAGTCTGAATAGGACTGTAAGCAAACATTTGCAGTCTTTAAAAAAAAGTTAGAAAAGACAGATTGAGCTGCAACAACATTGTCAGATATTGATGCCTTTGATTTTAATAATTTTCTGTAATTTAGTAATGTATCATGTGCTGCTAGGAAGGAGCAGTGTGGTGCTTACCCCTAGAAGAGAGAGAGTTCCAATAAAGTCAATTAAACAGATCTCATGAATAATTTACTTACTCCTATTTGCTTTCTTTTTTATCAAAAGGAGATACAGAAAGACATGAGAACAAGTGCCCAGACACTGGCAGAGATTGTGAAAAACACTGAAACCTTCTTGAAAGAGAATGGAGAAAAGTTGTCACAAGAAGACAAGACTATTCTGGAACAAAAACTAAATGAAGCTAAGACAAAGTGTTTGCTCCTTAGCCAGAAGGCAGAAGAGTCCAAAAAAGAATTGGATAAAGCTATGACAACAGCAATTAAGCAGGAAACAGAAAAGGTTTTTAGGCAACCATTTCATACCTTTATTCAAACCTTTTTCATGTCTTACAGTTGTGTGATAAGTTGACCTTGTCTGAATGCCAAAGAGCCATTCCATCACTTCCTTCCTTAGCTGGGCAGGCGAGAGAAAAATTTAATGAAAGGCTTGTGGGTTGAGATAAGGGCAGGGCAACATTATTCACAGTTGGTCTCTCAGGCAGAACAGGCTTGACTTGAGGAAATTAATTTATTACCAATCAAATCAGAGTAGGATACAAAGAAATAAAAACTAAATCTTAAAGATACCTTCCCTCTACCTCTCCTTTGTTCCTGAACTCAACTTTGGAGTTCTCTCCCTCATTCCCACCACTGGTGCCAGTGGAATGGGGAATGTGGATTGTGGTCATTTCATCACACACTGTCTCTGACACTCCTTCCTCCTCGAGGGGAGCACTCCTCGCACTCTTCCTGTGCTCCATTGTGGAGTCCCTCACACAGGAGAGAGTCCTTCATGAACTTCTCCAGTGTGAGTCCTTGCCAGGGGCTCCAGCATGGTTTCTTCCATGGGGTGCAGTCCTTTAGGCACACTGTTCCAGCGTGGAATGAGCCCATGGGGTCACAAGTTGTGCCACAAGCCTTGCTCGAGTGTGGGCTTCCCACAGGGTCACAGCCTCCTTTGGTCACCCATGTGCTCTGGAGTGGGGTCTCCTCCCCAGGCAGCAGGTGGATCTCGGCATCCCCATGGCCCCCATGGGCTGCAGGGGCACAGCTGCCCCACCATGGGCTGCACCAGGGGCTGCAGGGGAATCTCAGCTCTGGCACCTGGAGCATCTCCTGCCCCTCCTTCTGCTCTCACCTTGGTGTCTGCAGAGCTGTTCCTCTCATGTGTTCTCACCCCTCTCTTCAGGCTGCTGTTTTTCATGCTTTTTTTTTTTACCCTTTTACTGTGTGATCCTGGAGTTGCTGCCACCATTGCTGATGGGCTTGGCCTTAGCAAGGGATGGGTCCATGCTGGAGCCCGTTGGCTTTGGGTCTATTGGACGTGGAGGAAGCTTCTGGGAGCTTCTCAGAGAAGCCAGCCCTACACGCCCTCCTGATTCCAAAACCTGGCCAAGCAATCCCACACATATTGATAAACTGTGGAGAGGGTAATATCATATTTCAGTTGGGTAACTAATAAACTGTTGGTTTATTTTCTTATAAAATAAACAGCAACCTCTGTACTAATCAAAAATTTTCTATGATTTTAATGTATTTTAAATGGTTTATTTATATGTTTATTTGATACTTTGTGATCTTTAAAGAAGATTTCTAAATTGAAACTGTGAAATTTCAATGTAGGTTGCAGCCATAGAACAGCTGGAAGAAAGTAAAAATACAATAGAAAACCTTTTGGATTGGTTATCAAATGTGGATAAAGAAGCGGAGCACGGCCGGAAATTTAAGCAAGTGATAGAACAGAACGGAACACACTTTGAAGAAGTTTTGGAAGGAGAGGAGGATGATGTCAATGGTAATCTGCTGGAAATGCAGCAAGACATTGAAACTCAGGTGGATGGACTAGTAAAAAGCATAGATGATAATCTGAACCAGCAGTATCAGAAAGTCAAGGTATTGTTACTGGCTTTATTCAACATTTAGGTGTGTCACTCCTTATTCAACATAAATTAACTCAGTCTCATCCTGTCTGTCATGAGCTTTGGAGCAAGCACTAGGAAAATAAGTAATACACAGTGGTAGGAATTTCGGTAGTTAGAATGTATTGCACATTTGTCACTTTTTTGCTGTTACTATAATTCTTTCCTACAAAATAAGAGAAAGAACACATTCGGCACGGTAAATGAAAAAATCTTTGTGGTGAGTATTATTTGTTGTAGTGAGAAATTGATGCAGGCAAATAAAATGCAAAAAGGTGCAATATAAACTCATACCTATTATGTGACTTTTTCAGAAATCTATGTGATACCCAGATGATTCATCCCCATTTAATTCCCTGTGAATGCTGATTGCAAATTGCTGCAAATAATAGTTTACTGAAATTCTAGTTTTCATTTCCTACAACTTTAGCACATGGGCAAAGCAGTGTTTGAAGGCTTCAGAACAGGGAGTTACATAAAATTACAGTGCAGCATTTTAAAAATAGATTTTCCTGGTAAGTCAGAAGCATTTAAAATAATAAGAATTCGGTTTTATGGTGTTTGCTGACTTACAGCTGAGAAACCAAAACCTTTAGTTGTAAATTGATTGACACTTTAAAAGACAGTTGTTATGCTTGTAGCTGATAGTACTTTGGATTTCCTTTTTTATTAAAAAACCCCAAAACCCCAAAAGCAGCCTAAGAAAATAGGATTATTGGGTTTTGTGTACATGGTATTTTTACTTCTACTTTTTTGACAGTTAATTTCTGCACCTAGTGCCTACAGAATAATTGGCCATTATACTCATGGAAGAAAAACATACTATTTATTTTACATAGCTATTTTTCATGGGAGACCTTCAAGGATGAATAATTTTTTTAAAGAATATATTTGAAATCTGTTTTTCATTTGGAATATGGTACTAGTTCATGGACTTAAATATTTTATGGGATTGAAAAATTTACATGCCTAGATTGTGTCTTAATTTTTAATGTCAAATGGACCTGTTTTATGACAAACTCTATTTGATAAGAATCATGGCTTTTGATTTTGAAAAATTAAATTTCAAAACTGAAGTAATAATTTTTGTTCACTAAGTGTAAGAAGAAACTATCTATACTATGTTTGATGCTTTTACTCCTTTCAGTCTGCTTGTCTGTAATGGGACATGGAGAGTTTTGATTTGGAAGGTTGCCTACCTTTGAGTGTTTTATTTGTTAAATCCCGTTTTGAGGCAGAGAATTAGGAAATTTTTGATTACCTTACCTTACACTAGCATAAATGCTAAGTAATAAGTAAATTAATTTTGTTAGGAAAAAAGTTAAAGAAATTGATATTGTCTAGTTTTGCACTACAGAGTGGTGATTTGGAAGTACAGGGGAAAATGTTTATGTGATAAATACATCCAGGTATTGCTGAGTTGCAATGATACTTGAACATTTCCATATGTTCATGGCCTGTACATCTGGCAAAAATTACCATTGAATGTTTTGTAACATTTTTTAACTGCACAGAAATACGATGACCAAGAGTCACATTTTCACTTAAATTACTGAAACAATTGGGGGTTTATAATAAAATCTTAAAATTAGAAAAGCCTTTTTTCATTTTGATGGTCTTGGTATTTTTTCTAAGGAGCCATGTGAGAAGGTGCTGGTTGTAATTTATTGTTTTATTTGTAGGCTCAACATGAGAAAATTATTTCACAGCAGCAGGCTATCATTGTAGCAACTCAGTCTGCTCAGGCACTGCTTGAGAAACAAGGGCACTACCTTAGCCCTGAAGAAAAAGACAAGATGCAAAGGAACATGAAAGAGCTGAAGGCTCAATATGAGACTGCTTTGGCTGAATCAGAACGAAAAATGAAATTGACCCATTCTCTGCGGGAAGAATTGGAGAAATTCGATGCAGACTATAGTGAATTTGAAACGTGGCTGCAGCAGGCAGAGCAAGAACTTGACAATTTGGAGGCAGGGGCTTCTGACTTCAGTGGTATTATGGTCAAACTGAAAAGGCAGAAGAGTTTTTCAGAAGATGTTATATCTCACAAAGGGGATTTACGCTATATTACAATTTCTGGACAAAGAGTTTTGGATGCTGCAAGGTCATGTAGCAAAAGAGATGGTGTGAAGATTGACAAAGATGGTATCGATACTTCGGCTACATATGCTGAAGTGCAAAATAAACTGGATAGAGCTTCAGATCGCTTCAAGTCTCTCTATACTAAAGTAAGTATTATTTATACTGAATAGGAATGACTACTGTAATTGACTTAGCAATTTGTGTAGACAGGAACTAGTTGATGAAACAAACAGTGAGAAGTTGTAAATTCTGTTTCTCAAAGTTAAATAACAGAACAAGATACTTTCCTAGAAGACCTACTTTAGTCAAGTTTCAGACTGTTAAAGATCAGAATGGATGATACTTTCTACTTTGTGTTATAAGGAAGAAATGAGACCAGAGTTCTTCATTGTTCTTTCCAGCCTTAAACAGCCTCTGAGATTGTGGCAGCTCAGAATGCCTTGAGTAATGTTTTGGGTTGTAATACTTTCAGATGTATAATGTGGGAAATATTGCAAGTAACATAAAGTAATGGCTGTTTATTTACTTGGCTCCCTACTAACAAAATGAATGTAAAAAGAGAGAGATTATGCCAAAAATAGCAGGTAAATTTTTAATTTAATTTGTACCCTGAAATAGTTTGTCCCAATGTGAGCTTTGTTGTCAGCATTAGGCATGAAAGAACTTAGTGATTTAAGGACAGCAATTATTTTCCACTGCTCTGCCAAGTAAACGTTTTACTCTTAACAAGATCAGATTAGGTCTAATAAATAAGTAATTAGCAGTGCAAAATCCTCCATGTACCTTAGAGAGGGAAGATAATCTAGTTCTCTGTGCCAGGTTCACATATGGAATCTACCTGATAGAACTGGACAAACATCACCAGCTAGTCTCACATGCCAAATTTCCAGCTGTTTTCAAAAAAACATGTATTGTTCAATATTGATAATATTCCAGAACTGGAAAATTTTGAGATAATTATTAATTAAACCATTGAAGAGAGCAGTCAGTAGGCTTTGACTGTACTATTTCATATTTTTCTAAGATCATAGGTTTGAACTCCTTAATAGAGCTTCATTGTCCACTGGTACAGTGCTGGTCTGCAACAGCGGCCATCTTTGTCTGGAAAATTTTATCTCTTTAAGGTTTTCATGCTCAGAAATGTAAATTCTATAAAGACATGTATTTGACTGAATGATTAAAAAACCAGTGTAAAACTTGTTTTCTCAGTTTGTCAAGACAGCTGTTCATTTACAGAAGCATGTTTTCCTGCTTAACTGGTATGAACATGGAAGCTAAATTGACAATTCTATTGAATTCTGCTAGATTTCCTCCAGTTGTTTTATTGAATTGAGTGTAAATGTAAAGATAGCAAAATTTTCAGAGAGCTTATTTTTATGCACATAAAAATCCCATGCCAGCAGGTGGATTTGTCAATTTTCCAAATTCTATCCTTTCCATATATACATTTAGCAGGGTTATAATTAGACATGCCTTAAATATTTGACAGCAAATATGCAGAACAAAGTAGATCTTTTGTGTCTTTAAGGATAGAATTCCAAAAAGTGAGATTGTTCACAATTAAGTGAGATTTTTCAAGTGGTAAATGAATTGGTAGTAACCTTTTTGCCTTTTGTAAAATTTTCTTGCTTTTAATAAATACTTAGATTGCTTTTGCTTTTATATATATGTATTTGGACACGTGTGAGACATGTTTTTATAGGGTTTTTTGTTGAAGGAATCCTAAAGTCAGTTCTTGGTTAACCGGTTATATAAATAAGCATGTTCTATATCTGCCCACCAGATGGAGACCGAGTACCATTTGTAAATATTAAAATACAGTATCTGGAAGGTTCAGCATATAAATATTTAATGTAACTGTTTATAAATATTATGACTTGATACAATCAGATTTTGCTTGTGAAACCATCTCCGGAAAGTCTGAAAGAGTTTCACTGACTTTTTAATGTGACAATTTGCTGTAAACATTTTGGGGTATTCTAACATATAGGACTAATAGAATCTTGTTCAGATGACATTTTTAAGTGAATTAAACAAAGTATATGTACAATACTGAACCATATCACTTTGGATTCACTATGCAGGTAAGGTAGTTATGAAAACAATACTCCACTGTCTGTATTTTAATGAGCATACATATCTCTCCTGATTTAAAAAAAAAATTATAGCTTCCAGTGGCTTTCAATATTTCTACATTTTTGGTGTCAGAGTTCTGATAAAGAATCTTTATATCGGTGAATCAAAAATTATTCCAGAAGTTTTTCCTATTCTAACACGGCAAGTAAGACTCCAGTTTCCCACCTGCATCAGTGATTGAATCCTAAATCACCCTTTAGGAGCACAGACTGCACAGCCTGTCCAGCTGCCATGTCTCAGTTCAGACATCAGTTAGACAGTGAAATGATGGCAGGAAAAAATGATGTGGTATTACAGGGAGGAATTTATAACTTTGAGATTGGTATGAAATGCAGCACACAGTTTAATGCCTGCATATTTTCTTGTTTCTTTTTTACTCTTTTAGTGTAGCATCCTTGGAAATAATCTTAAAGACCTGGTGGATAAATACCAGCATTATGAAGATGCCTCATCAGGACTTTTGTCAGGTCTCCAGGCCTCTGAAATAGCTGTGAACAAACAACTATCAGAGCCAATTGCAGTGGATCCCAAAAATCTCCAAAGACAACTTGAAGAAACTAAGGTGAAAAGCTTTAAAATGCAGCAGCACTTTTGTCCTAAAAGGAACTGCTTTTTTTGTCTGAAAAACAGGATGATCTAATACAATCCAAGTGGCTGCAGGCCAAAATCTTGCCTTACATGTGGGCATAGAGCTTCTATGGTTCTGAAATTTGCTGTCCAGAGCAATATCTGAAAAGCACCAGGTGAAAAAAAATGGAGTACTAAGATGCCATTAGCAGTGGTGAAAGCAAGATGTGTTTTTTATCACTTAGCAAATGATAGGGTGAAATCTGGAAAGTTTTTGAACTAAGCAAGTATTTAGTCATTATAAAAAGCCTATCAGAATAAGGCTTGGATAGGGCTCCAGACAGAGAAGTCCATTTGATTGTTGTCTGTGACTCTTGGTTTGGTTTTTTTTCTGTTCACATTTGTGTGTTACTTCATCATGAAAGGGATCATACCAGGTGAATAGTGTGATGTGAGTAGTCTGCCTGCCTGTTTCAGTTTCACCCAGTGCTATATACCCTTCAGAGAGTGAATTTAGCATGATTTGTGTTGCACAGAAAAACAGTATTTTTTATTTTTTGAGGATGTACCTCATGACTTTATGTAAATCCTAGTACAGACAAGACAAATTAGTGATAGAGCTTGTGAAGGTAAAACTCTGGATACCTGTATAAAGTGCAGGTTTCGAGAAGGCTTTAAAAACTCAAGTATATGGGGTGTTATATGACATTTCATTCAGTCTATCATCTTTGAACTGACTGTTATATTTTCATAAACACATTCAATCATCTGTATTATAAATAAAATGCAAGATTATTTGTTTTTTAAGTGAGCAAGACTAATGGTCAGGCACTTCCTCACTGTTTTGTCTGTGCTCAGGGAAGTATCAGTGCAGGCCAGACACATTTACTAGTGAAAAATGATAGTGAATGCCTTTTGGAAAGTACGTGTTTTAACCATTTCCCTCACATCAGCCTGAGCAGTAGTTACATTTATCTATGGTATCTTTCAAATTGGCCACTGGAAATGCCAAGATTTTGATGCATGACAGCAAAAGGAGACAAATCACAGCCATGTTTAAGACAACAAAATTAAAAGTGTAAATTGTGAATCTTTAGGTACATCTGTGCTTCCAAGCACTTGAAGAGTAGGAATAAAACCAATTACAATTTGAAGCTTCATTTAAACTTTTTGTTCCTTATGCCAAAATGAATTATATTCTCTATAATGCAAATTTTCATGGATGTAATACTAAAGGAGTGAGTACTAGGGTTCTTTTTATGAAATGTCCAAATGGATTACTTGCCACACAAAAGAGCACTCAATGACTGTGAGTAGGGAAGAAGAGAGAGGGTACAAAATGTCAAAAGATTGAAAGGAAGAGAAAAAACAGGAGTCTGAAGAAAGCAAGCCAATTAATGAAAGCAAAACAAAGAGTATTTTGAGGAAGTCAGGTGTTGCAAGTTAAAGCTGTCCCTTGTAGCCAACACATGCAGCTGATAATCCAGCTAGACACAGACCTTGGCAGCATGGTGAGGTCTAATCTTTTTATGGGGATTAACTGTTCTTCAGAATATTCTTCACTGCCTCTGGCATCAGCTTGCTTGCCTTCTGTTAGCATACAAGGTTTTCTGGTACATCTTTTTTTTTTTTCTCCCTTTCTTTCTACACAAGTACTAGCCTAAGCCTCTTCAGATCTCTTGGAGACTCATTGTGTCAAATGGGTCAGCAAGATGATGTACTGTGCCCTGGCACAGTCTTATTCTCTGAGCACCAGTGCTGAATGCACTGACAAGACTTCTTTGTGCTGGCAGGGCACATGGGATTACCTTTTGATTCATATATTCATTGAGTATCAATGAATATCAAAAAATAAATGAGATCTCCCTTCATTTTGGACTTGTATAAGATTCAAGAGAATCAAAACAAACACTAGCACAGAGGCCTGAAATAATTTAAAGATTATTTACCCTAAAGTATTCTTACATACTAGAGAGATAAAGCCACTACAAGTTGATTCAGCCTTACTGTCTTTGTTGACTCTGGAGAAAATCATGGCTGGGCTAGTCTCTGAACATGTGTTCCTTGGTTAGGTGGACAAACCTGGGCAAAATTCAGCCACACTTCTTCAGGGGTTCCTAAATGTGAAGGCAAATTCATCTTGTTTCATGCTATTCCTGTTTGTGCTACAATATCAGCCTGATCCTTTGTTGATACCACGGCTGGTGAATGTGTAACTCCTGCTGTTGATTGTATGTTTTTCCCTCTGAATTGTTCCTAGATGCTGAATTGAAAAGTGTGTTTATAATAGTCTGTACAAAGGGGCTTTAGGAACAATTAATAAAAAAATGTATTTCAAGTTACATGCAAGAAATAAGCTGGATCAGATAAGCATTCTAAAACATAAGGTAAAAAAGATGGTGAATGAACTAAAACAAGGGCCAGAAGGTTAACAGCAGCCATAACCACAGGTCAGGATTTTTCTTAAAGAGAAGTCACAAACTGAATTAGTTTATTCCCAGCAGTAAGTTTAGGTTCTGTGACATATTTCAAGTCTTGCAAATGTAAATATCAACTGTACTGAAAACCATAACTGATAATAGTGGAATTTTACAGGTTCTTCAGGGACAAGTGTCTAACCACCAAATTGCTGTAGAAAAACTGAAAAAAGCTGCTGAAGTGTTATTGGACACAAGGGGAGAGTTGGCACCAGACAAAGATGAGATTCAGAAAACACTGGGTAAAATATTTGCTTTTCTTAATTCCTCTTTTTATCACTTGTGTCTACATGCAGGTTGTGGAAGACAATAATTACAGAGCTTCCATATTCTTATGTCACTGTTCAAGTCCATGTTTTGTTGAGTCTCAAGTCATTACAACACAGTCATTTTGTTGTTAGTCTCTCTCCTACATGGATCCATATGCTTTTCATTGTCATTTCGTTTTTTTCTTTTTACAGAAATAGGGATTGCTGAGCAGAGGTAGTGATTTGCTGAGGATCATAAATTCTCCAGAGAAACATGACTCCAAGGAACCTGTTTACAAGCAGTTATTTGAAGTTTGCTTAGCTTAGGAATTACTTCCTTCTAACTTTAAGAAACTGTCTATGACAGTGGTGGGCTGCCAGATGCCCACTCACCTTCTCTCTCACTCCCCTTGCTCAAGTGCATGGGGATAAAAATTAAGATAGAAGACCATGGGTTGTGATAAAGACGGGGAGATTGCTCGCTTTTTACTGTCACGGGCAAAATAGACTTGATTTGGCAAAAGTTAACTTTGATTTATTGCCAAATAAAACGGGTTTAGGAAATGTGAAACAAGGAGAAATTACAGCAACGCTATCCTCCACCCCACTCTTTTTTCCAGGCTTACCATCTCTCCTTCCTTCCCAACTAGTCCCCCTTTATCCCTGCCAAGCAGTGCAGTGTGGATGGGAAATGGATGCTTGCGGTCAGTCCAAAATTTCTCTGCTGCTTCCTCCTCACACGTTTCCCCTGCACCGGTGAGGGACCTCTCTGCAGGCTGAAATCTTTCAGGCTAATATTGTTCCAGTGTGGGTGGAGGCTACATTTCCTTCAGGAAATATCCATCTCCTCTAGCATGGGTCCTCTGTGTGCTGCATGTGGTTATCTGCTCCTCCATCCTCCACAGGTTTCAGGGAAAGCCTTTTTCTCTGCTCCAGCACCTAGAGCATCTCTTCTCCCTCTTTCTTCTCTGATCTTCATGTCTGCAGGGCTGTTTTCATACTTTCCTTTCCCTCATTTCTCAGTCCCATGCAGTGGTTTCCCTTTTCTTAAGTAAGTTTTTCCAGTGGCGTCAGCAGTTTGGCTGAGGAGCTCAGCTGTGCCCTGTGATGGGTCAGCTGGAGTTGGCTGGAACCATCTGTGTCTTCCATGGGGCAGCCCTTGACCTGCTGTCACATGAGCCAAAAAAACTTGTCACTAACAAACCCTTACCACCACCAAAACCTTACCACCTACACTTAATAATCTTTCCTATCAATCGTGAGAAGTATCACAGTGGGACATTCACCACTGTCTGAAGTTTGAAGATGCTTTCTGTGTATCACCCAGCTATCTCCTCATGACATCCCATAAATAACTTGCAGAACAACAAAATAAAACAAATGTGGCTTGACTCTTTGGAGTTGGTGATAAAACTCTATGGGAGGTACATGAAAGTTGTAACTTTCAAATAATTATTTTGAAAGTGTTGGATGTCTAATGAAGAACCGTCTGGAAAAACCTCTGAGATCCCACATTCATGTAAGAGACATAATTGTAGAAGAGTTGTGTTAATACTCTGTTATTTTATTTCTTGGGAACAGTCAACAGCTGTCTTAAGCTAGAACTACATGGGAATCAGTTTCTAACACTGGGCACTACAGCTGTATGCTACTCCCTGATTTCCCTTGTCTGGTGTGTTTCTTGGCTCTTTTTGAAGTTGTTGGTCTTTGCTTCCATGTTTTTACTGACTAAAGCTGACTTTTCTTCATTCTAATGTAGCAATTTTTGACTCAACTGGTGAGTGCTGGTGAAGAAAGCTGAAAGCTTAGTTTGGCTAGAGGAAAAACTTGAAATATATCTTTTCTTTTTCAGATGATATCGTGGAGAGATATGACAATTTATCCAAATCTGTGAATGAAAGGAATGAGAAGCTTCAAGTAACTCTGACACGATCCCTAAGTGTGCAGGATGGTTTGGATGAAATGCTGGATTGGATGGAAGGAGTTGAAAAGAGCCTTAAAGAACAAGATCAAGTGCCTTTGAATTCTGCTGCTATTCAGGACATTATTAGTAAAAGCATTGTAAGTAGCATTCTTTGAAAAAGAAACGTTTGTTTGATAATTCAGATTTCAAAAAAGAATTAAAATCTTAGGTTGGCACCTTTTATGGATTCAAAATACTTGGTAAAGATGACTGTTGTGTGAAGTGACACTGCTTGTAAGGATTTTTGTAGGTGAAATAGATTACACTGATGATGTAGCTGTAGTGATTTGTTGCTTTATATGGTAGATGAATTTCACTTCTTAAAATTTAGTTGCAAGTAATACAAAGTAGTTCTTGTATGTTTCAGATGCTAGAGCAAGACATTGCAGGTCGCCAAAGCAGCATAAACACTATGAATGAAAAAGTGAAGAAGTTCATGGAAACAGCAGATCCATCCACTGCTTCCACACTGCAAGCTAAAATGAGTGAACTTGCAGGACGGTTTTCTGATGCAAGTAACAAGCATAGAGAGAAGCTTATGAAAATGGAGGAATTGAAGACTAAAGTGGAGTTATTTGAAGGTCTGTCAACAAAACTTCAGTCATTTCTAGATGAGAAAAACCAGACACTGAGTGAGACAGAGGCACCAAGAAAGGATGTTAGTGAAGTGTCTCAATACATGCAGGTACTGTAGCATTCACTTTGTACGTGTTGTGCAATCTTAGCCTAACTCATCTAAGTGATTGAATAAGAAACAAGGTATTTTTTTTCCTAGCATTGGTTGGTCATCTAAAATCAAGAGGTTAATTTTGAACAAGTGATTGTAAAGTCTAATATGAAGAATGTAATCCTATTTTGCAGGAAGCTAGTGTAGAATTGGCACAACACAAGAAGGATCTAGAAGTTTTGAAGCAGCTCCTTGAAGAACTTTCATTCCATGCTCTTCCTGGAGATAAAGCACTGGTATTAGAAAAAGTAAATGCTTTGTCAAAGAAATTCAAAGAGGTAGAGGAGACAATAAAAGAAAAGTAAGTTGTATAATCAAAGTGTTTCCACTTTGGCTAATAATACAGTGTGAATGTTGTGATTACTGCTATCCTTTTGTATGCAATCTCAAGATATTGCACTTTACCAGAGTAAGTAAGGGTTTTTTATTGGAAAGAGAAGATTCTATTTGAAAATGCCTCTGTAGTTAGTCTTTCTGGCCCATGAGCTCTAAAAAGGGCCATAAAGATAAGTAATTTTTCAATTGTGACATTCACAGGATTCTTGGCAAATTTAAGAAACCCCTACTTTTCCCCTTCTGTGACAGAACAAAAATTGCTGCTTGTGTATATTGCTTTAGAGTGCTATTTAGCATCAGGCTGCAAAGGAAAACTAGAGAAATTGTAGGAGATTCCATAGAAGTTACCTTTGCAGTAAGACTAGGTTTTGCATGTTCTGCTTATATCCATAAAATTAGCTTTTTGACACTTTGAATTTAGGAATATAACATCAGATTAATATTTGTTGGTTTAACTATTAGAAGGAATACTGTCATTCCTTTGTCTTTAATTGTCTAGAGAAGAGGATGTATCATCTTGTCAGAAACAAATGGATGCTTTTGAGCTTCTTGTAGAATCATTAAAGAAATGGATAAAAGAGACGACAGAACGAATTCCAGCAGCACAGCCCTCTCTGAATACAGAGGAGTTAAAGAAACCTTTGGAAGATACATTGGTAAGCCTTTGCAGGAGAAATGAAATCTGGCTGAAGGAGATAAGGCATCTATTGCCAATACTGAAATACGGATTTAAGGTGTAAGCAGTCACAGTAATTGGGATTAGGGGGTTTGCAGTCTGCATTTACATTCCAATTTGCTTTATATGTTTTGCAGCAGATTCCCAAGCAAGAAAGTTGTTCATTTCTGTGCACTAATTCTCTTAAGTCTGAAGTCAGTTTTGTAATGAACAAATTACTATCTTTCTTAACCAGAATTTAAAAGATGAGTGGACATTAAAGGCACCTGAACTGCAGAAAATGAATAGCAGAGGAACTTTGCTGTGTAACTTAATCACTGCTGTGACTTCTCCTGCAAAACTGAGAGCAGTTGCCAAATCAGGTATGCTTTTGTCTAATCAGGTAAGCCTAATATTCCAAGAACTTTTAAAACCTGTATAAGACAAAAATTAATATTGTTTCATCCCTAGGATTAGCATTCTGAATATTATAGCTTGTGAGAAAACATTTAGCCATGTCTCTTCTGACCATTGCTTGCAGTGATTCTATTTAAACTGTCTAGCTGCTGTAGTAATTCAGCACACATTCTCATTGTTTTACTCTGCCAAAATAATGTAAAAGTGCGGTGATGTAAAAATTTAACCTGTCCTAGAGCTGTGATTTAATTCCCAGATAGTGAATAAAATGACAGGATCACAGTTGCCTTCACCTCATCCCAAAAAGCTTCTGAGAATGAGAAATGGACTTGTTCTGATCAGTGTTCAGTGCTTCACACATCCATCAAGTCTGCAAGCAGGACAAATACAAACCATGTTTTGGAAACTCTGATATAATTGCACAGAGATACCTGCTTTTAATGGCCAAAAGGCTGTTCTGTGACACCAAGCAAACACACAAAGGTTTTGCAGGGTCGAGGACTTTTTGTTAGAAGGGTAATGAGGAGATGGTTTATATAAAAAATGAGCCTAGGTAAAGATACTCATCCTAAGATGATATCATAATTAGTATTAGTCTAAAGTGTTTTAGTTGAAACAACAGCACAGAAGGGAATTAACTTTGTATCTCAGCATGATTTTCCTGGGCCAAAATGCGTGTTCTGTCTGGACCTTCAGCTAAATTCTACTGGTAATCATAATTTAAATATAGCAAGTCTATTTCCAATTTTTTTTTAAATTCTAATGCTAAATATAATTTGTTTTACAGAAACCAATAATTCTGCCAAGTATGATTCCAGACATAGTTCAAGGACATTGGGCATTTTAATGGCAATAAGCACACTTTCAGTCAATTCTTGAACTGACTAGGTCTGGAAATAAATTCAAGTTTGTTGGCCCTCATTGGTCATCTGCAAATGACTGTGAGGTTGGGGACTAATAGAGGATACCTATTAGGCAAAAGTAGAACATTTTCTTTCTTTCTTATATCTCTTTGTAATAGCTGCCTCTGATTTTGTGGTTTTTTTTTAACTTTAAATAAAAATCTTTCAAAGAACATTTTTGAATTTTCTATGATCTATTTGGGCACATTCTCCTCCCTCTTTTCTATTCCTATGCATCCAGATAGAAAAAATAGTTAAGTAGCTAAATAAGAGCAGCTATAATCCACCAGACCAGAACATTTGCTCTCCTTGACAAGAGCTGTACTGTGTATCACTTTATCACAGTTATAAATACCAGAGTCCAGCTAAAAGGGCATGAAGAGCTACAGGACTCTGGCTGGGGCCTGTGACTTCTCTTATCTGGTTTGTTTTCTCTTGCCATCCTCCAGCTGCCACTAATGCAGTCCTCACTGTCCAGCTGGTACTGGGGGTGGGATGTGTAGCCTTTTCCAAGGCAACCATTAATCTTCCTCTGTTAATTGCTCTTCTGGGAATACATATGTGCAGGAGAGAGGGAAGTGATTCTCCTTGCAGCTCTCTGCAGTGTGATCATGTGGCCCTGCTCTTTCGTCTGACTCCATTTTACAAAGCCCATTAGCTCTGGTTTCAGAGGTGCTGATATTATGGTTAATTAGGTAGGGCTGCCTCTGAGTGACAGTAAGGACAGTAAGTGACAGTAAGGTGTAAGTGTGCCACATTGCAGTTCCTGTCATGGAGCACATGCTTGAGTCTTGCTTATGACAAGATAGGGAAGGACTAAACCGGTTGGTTTCAAGAGATTTCTGTACAGAGTTACAATGCACATAAACCATAGAATCTTTCTAAGTTGGAAAACACCCTTAAGATCATGAGGCCCAAAAATTAATTCAGCACTGCCAAGTCCAGCACTAAACCACGTCCCCAAGCGGCACATATATATGTTTTTAAAATACTTCCAGGAATGGTATCTCAACCACTTCCCTGGTGGGTAAAGGTGCCCTAAGTAAGCAGTGCCCTTGGCTGTGGTATCTGCAATAGGCACTCTGGGCCTCTTTGCTGTTTAATGTTTAGTGCTCTCTCCTCAGGGCAGCGCTTGCCAGCTTGTCCTCTGCCAGGCTATACCTGTCACAGCTAGGTAAAACAGTGCTCTCATAGGGAACAGGGTCCTTTGGGAGAGAGGAAGGGAGTGATGTTAACAATCTGGATGTGAATAGGCCTCATAGCTAGGACATAAACCCTTGGCCCTGGACACTGTTTAGTACAGAACTGTGAGCAGTAGGGTTGCTGATGTATCATACATATGTGCACCCTTCTAAGAACACCCCACCCACTGTGCCCATGCTCTGCCTATGTGATACCACTTATGGTTCTGGCTGCCTGCAGCTTCATTTGTGATGTTGTGGTGACAGATATGGATCATGCTGTTCTGAAGAGGAAATGAAGTGCTGGGGTTTTGGTGGTAAAAGGCTCAGATAAGCAAGAGGCTTCATCTCTTTTGATCCACAGGTGGCACAATTCTAAATGGTGAAGGAGGAGCTCCAGGAACTCAGGACTTCTTGAAAAATAAAGGTCAGTAAAAATTTCACCATGCAATAAAGAAATGTTGCTTGCCAATTACTGTTAAATATGGAAGTGTTTTTAAATGTTGTACATAAATTTGTTTGTAGCAGTCATTATTAGACTGAAATTTCACGTCACCATCACATAAGACAACTACGTTGACCAGGGCATGATATAGGCAATTATAACAATACTTATCTCATTCTTTTCTTTGAAGACCAACCAAATCTAGCCTTGTTTTCTAAATCAATATATACTTTTATAAATGTATATGGGTTAGCTATTTTAATATAAGACATGACTTTTGAGAAATACCTTTCAATGGGGATTGAAACTTTAATACCCATCAGCATTCACAACATGTGTATACACAAATATATGTATAAAAAGACACGATTTATATACATTTGTATCACTGTGACTAACTCTTAGAGAAACAAAGGAACTTTTATATAAGGACTTTATAGTAGGTGAACTGTAGCCCAGTCAATTCAACTTTTGGTCATGGAATTGTTACTTAAAATAGTAAAACAGCAATGGATAGAAAGATTGAAACGTGTCTATGCACTTGTATGTATTGAAGTAATGATTTCTGTGAAATAAGAAGTTATTGCAAATAGGAACTTATATTAGCTCATTCAGATGTAGTGGTGCCACATTTAGAGTGGATTGGAAATAACTAACATATCCAGTGACTTCTTATTTGGGGACTATTAGCTACTGTTGCTCAGAGTACTGTTCAATACTGTTTGAGTACATTCAGTATTGTAAGGGCTTGTAACTTCTAACACAGTCTTCGTGCACCTCTGTTTACAGAACTGACAACTGTTCAACAAGCTATGTCTAATGTAAATCACAGCTATGAAGATTTGGGAGTTTTACTGAATGAAAAGATTTCAGAACTAGAAAGTATGCTTTCAAAAATGCAAAATATTCAGGAAGAATCGGCCTCAATGATGCAATGGTTGCAAAAAATGGACAAAACTGCATCAGACTGGGAAGCTGCTCCAACAGATAGTGAAGCTGTTAAAGCCCAAGTTGAGCAACATAAGGTACTTTGTGCCTTCAAACAAATACTTTTTCTTGTAGTTATTAGGCAGATGCTATGAAATAACTGATATCTCAGCCGAGCTTAATGTTGCAGAGAGTATTTAACTGATCCTACTAAGCATATTAGTCAGGCTTAGAGCAAATCTGGCAAACTGTGTCAGTGGAGTAAAGGAGCACTGTGTCAGAGAGAATGAGTTTTGCAGGTCAGAAAATAATAATTTTGGTGGACAGTTTGAAAAGTTGAGGCTCTACTGATTATGCAATAAACTTTTTTTGATGTTAGTGCTTTAGAGGTATATAATAGATTACTTGTAATGTCTGAAGGGCTGTATCTGTCCAAAAGCTGTTTCTGCAGCTGCTGGCTCACTGATGCTCCCCAGACCTCCTGGTCTCTGCAGCTGCAGCGGCTTATGTCTCTTCCAAGGCAGTGTTTCTCTTCAGCAGCCCTGTCATGCTTGTTAAGTTATATAGCTGCACAACAGCCTCCTTCCCCCTTTATAATTGATATGAGAAAACCACTGAATCAGCAGTAAGCTTCTGTCCTGTTTCAGCATTGGAGACATATGCTTCCCTAGCAGTGAAGGACAATATTTACACATGTAAAGTTCATCTATAAAGGGGAAATGTAATGGATAGGGAAAATTCTTTTCTTGCTTGTGATTGTATATAAACAAAGACAGAATGAGATTTAACTCAATTTCTTTTATATTTGGCGGGTCACCCTTAAAAATTAACCTGACCAGCTACCAACTTCCTCAGAGTTGGATAACATTCAATCCTAAAATTCCGACTAAGTGTGAAAGAAAACCAGCTCTTTTTTCTTAACAGAGACTGTGCAAAGCTATCATGATCATCTAACCCGCAGTGTAGTAATAGAAGAGTATTCACAAATAGTTGGAAAACTGAGTGAGTGCTCAAGCAAAAGTCATCTGATGCATTGGACCTTTTATTAGAAGTGCTAAATCAAGTACAGTTTGTTCAGTGTTTATTTTGTGGGTTTTGGATAATTAAAAAACAACTCCACGAGGCAAGCTTTGTTACTTAAGAACATTCATATAAGAGCCCTTTGCCAGGCATATAAGAAACATTCACTTCTGTCTGCAAGAACAGCATTAATTAGGATTTGCTGAGTATCTTAGTCTTCTGTTAGGTTTATACTTAAAAATCTGATTCTCTTTAAACTAACGGTTTAGGGGATCTACATGAAATAGTCTGTCTGTGATAGCAGGACTTTTACTGAGGTAAATGAGGCCACAGCACACTCCTCTCTGTCAAAGCTGGTAGGATTATTTCTGCTGTGAGCTATGCTTTGCATTAGTCAGTGTGCCTTCTGTACACAAATAGATTCCAAGTATATGTGAATATAATGGATCTAGTGAATCTTATTTATCTGACTTCTTCTAGTTCTGTTATTTGTTCAAATTAAACAATTATTATTAATATAGTTTATATCTGTCAGGTTCTCTCTTCCAAAAAATTGGCTAGTAACATATGTCATTATAACGTGTGTTGAGATTTATAGCAGAAATGTAGTATATACAGGTGAGATATTTATTTTTTTATCTTCCTACTTGGCACCTCAGTATTATGGACTGCAAACTTTACCGTTCTTCTTTAGTCTCTTATTTATTTATTTTATCACCTGAATTTTCAGCTTTTTGAAACTGAATTAAAGCAAAGTGCAAATAAAGTGCAGGAACTAAAGGACAAAGTTACAGAGCTGTTGGAGAAGAACCCTGACTCTCCAGAGGCACTGAAGTGGAGACAAACGTTGGATAAAATAGGTACTTCAATAAAGCTATATTATAGCTGAGACTGATTTGGAATTTGCTTTATTATGAGTTTTTTAATTTATTAGCAATAACAAGTATTTTCAAACCTTGTTTCCTCTTACCCCTTAAATTCTGTGGAAATAACTCCATTTGTAAGCGTGTACATCTGAAGCAAATCCATTGATGTCCAGGGCCTCTAAATTTGTATTAGCACAGGCTATAGCCTGACTTCCTGTTTGAGAGGCTTTCTCTTTTTCAAATGGTGTGCAGCTAAAACTCGACTGGCCAGTTACATATATGCATATATATTTTATTATTTTTACAAAATATAACAAATAAGGGTGATTCTAATTTCATGTAGAGAATGGTTTGAGTTGTTGGTAGTGCTTTTCTGCGTGTATTTTCCCCATGAACTGGTGGCTTTTGGCATTTTGTGGGTTTGGTGGTATTTTGTTCTTTTCTAAAACTGTAAAAATTTTGCTAAAAATTTTTCAAAAAGCGAATGAAAAAAAGAAAATTACCATGCTTGGTCAATAGATTTTGAGATATTGCAGCACCTAATTATCATGAGCTTTTAAAAATTTTCTTTAGGTTAGTCATATTTTAAATAATTAATAGATCAATAGCATTGCATGTCAATTTTGTTTCATAGTGATAGGCATTTCCATTGCTACACCAAAAGTAATTTTGAAGCTGAGAATTTTTCCAGTCTGTCCTGCTTGTAAGTGAAACTCTGAAAAGTTTAAGTAGCAGGTAAGGTCTCCAACAGACCTTTAGTAGTATTGAAAGGGGATTAATACAGAATGAGCAGAGGACTGTGAAGCACCAAAGGAAAACAGGGATGAAAATCAGGGGCAGGGAGTTAGCAAAATACCAGAGCTGACTGAGCAAGCATTGACAGTATCACAGAGGGGAAGGGGGAAGGTACAAGACTAAGACTCAAAGGCTGCTCTGGAAACCACTTGCCATGGTGGAAAAGACCACAGACTGGTGAGGTGTGAACCTAAGCTCACACAGTGCCTTTGAAATACCTATATGCAGAAGTATTCTCATTGGCCATCATTAGATACCGGGTTTTAGATGAATGGGTTTAGATGAATGATACAGATATTTGAAAGAATTAGGCATTTTCAGAGGGCTGTTTATAGTTGAAGCTTAATTTTGGGCTTCTGATCACCCTTGAAAAATTAAGGGGCTTTATTAGTGAATAAGCAGGGAGATTTGTCTATTTAAATCAGGCACCTGAGTTATAACTGAGTAGAACCCTTTGCCTTCAATATAATTTGAAGCCAAAGCCTGAATTTGAGGGTATTTCATTTAGTAGTATTCTAACACAATTTTATTACATGTTGAATATTCATTGCTCTAAAAATTCCACAGGTGGCTGACTGTCATCCAAGTGTATGTGGGTCTGACTTTTAAAAGATGTTATTTGCAGAGTCACTGCAATAAGGCATCTGGAGTTAATCAGCACGAAGCCTTATGAGAGACCTCTGTTTATGTTTCATATGTAGTCTGCTGTCTCAGAATCCATCTGCTAGAGCATGCATGCAATATGTTAACATTATCATTGCTAGATTCCAAATGGAAAGAACTCAATCAAGTTACATCTGAGAGACAACAAAAACTGGAGGAGTCTTCAAATTACCTGATCCAGTTCCAGACAGCAGAAGCTCAGCTAAAGCACTGGCTTGTAGAGAAGGAGCTAATGGTCAGTGTGCTGGGACCGTTATCAATTGATCCTAATATGCTGAATACACAAAAGCAACAGGTTCAGGTGAGTAGTGCCAACACATATTATTGATTTAAGTTTCTTCTGCCTTTTTGGTATTAGCGAGGTTATATTTTGCATCTAGAGCAGAGCATGGTTAGTGTAAGCCATTAGATTTGTTTATCTGTAGGTATCAGCTTATGTCATACTTGACTACAGTAATTACAAGAAAAAAGTTATCGTAAGAGTGAAGAGAGATCAGAACAGGTAAAGAAAAATGTTGAGGAGACATTGATCCTCCTTTCTGTGTTGACCATACTGTGGTTTCTCTGTAATGGAATGAAAATGTCCCTTTGAATTTTATTAATTTGACATTTTACTGTCATTCCTCATATACAGTCTGTGGTTACCAACTAGCTTTTTGAGATTTTATTCCCTTGACTATGCCAGTAGCTAACAAAAATAAGTGAAGTGAAATGCAGTACTGTTGACAGATATGTGGCCAAGAGTGTCAAAGACAGAAGAAAAAGTATAACGAATGGTTAGAGTAATTTACTGACATCAACACAGCAAACTGCAGACAAAAGAACTGAATGTGAAATCAGATGAGGTTGCAGAAGGCATAAAATTTAATTTCAAACATTTCTATTGCTGCCAATTATTCCAAGCTGATGGGAAATTATTTGTTTTTGAAAAAAAAATGTTATTAAAGCTTTAATATCAGTATTGTTTAAAATGAAGTGTTTAAAACATGAACAATGTTCTAATACAATGTGAAATACTGTGACTCAATATTGTTTTGTAAGTGCTTCAGAAGTCTAGACAGATGGCATAAGACCATCATGTATTTCACAGTCCTTAAAAGTTCAACCTAATTGACTTAGGAAGGGTTTGGAATGTTTTGTAAAGTAAAACCATTATATTTGTCCCTTCTTTTGCAAGCTGTAACTTACTGTCAAAAAAAAAATACTGAGAACCAGTGATATAAACTTAAAAGGTCTTACACTACACATTCAGTGATTTTGTGAATTAGCCAGATAGTCTCTGTTCTATAATAAAACATTATGATAATATGTCAGAATACACCTTCTTTGAAGTTCTTTCTTAAGACAAATATCAAAACTGTCCAGGAAAGAAGACACTACTTGAAACTAAACAGCACTTACTTTGCTTAGTGTGGTTACTTAATTACTGTAGTATTAACAGAACTCAATGTTTACTTGTATCTCCTGGTTGAATTTCTATTAGATGATGTGGAAATTCACCTAATTTTTTTCTCTTTCTTTGATGTAAATATTTGGAAACAACACAGTTTATGTAAAAGGCACATTTATTTAACTTGGATACACTCAATAATAGAGTTTAGCTGCAACAAATTCTACATAATTTTCTATCAGGAACACTTTTTTTTTTCCTCATGAACTGCATTCTTTTAAAAATTCTCTTTTTTTCCTAGATTCTGCTCAAAGAGTTTGACACCAGAAAGCCACAATATGAGCAGTTAACTATTGCTGGGCAGGGGATTCTGGAGAGACCTGGTGAACATCCACCCTCACATGAAATTGTAAAAGAGCAACTGGCAGCTGTGGCACAAAAGTGGGACAGTCTAACCAGCCAGCTGAAGAAGAGATGTGACCGAATTGACCAAGCCATTGTGAAAAGCACAGAGTATCAAAGTTTACTCAGAAGTCTGTCTGATAAGCTAAGTGCCTTGGATAGTAAACTCAGCAGCAGCCTGGCTGTGAGTACACAACCTGATGCTGTGAAACAACAGCTGGAAATTGCTAAAGAAACAAAGGAGGAAATAGAACAGGAAATGAAGAATATAAATGCAGCACAAGCTCTTTGTGAAGAGCTGTCAACACTGGTTGGGGAAGAGTATTTGAAAGCAGAACTTACAAGACAGTTAGACGGCATCTTAAAATCATTTAAGGATATTGAGCAAAAATCAGGTTAGTATTTATTTAAAGAAAAACAGTAACTAAGGCATAAGTAAGGCAAAAGTTTGTGATAAAGGTGTTGAGTGAACTGAGCCTGGTACCAGCTCTCTATTCCAGTCCAACCCCTAAGCAGTTGTACATTGGAATTTAGAAGAATCCCCATGCCTTGAAAAGGGAGGTTTGGGAGGGAACTTGGAGTAAAATAGCAAGGCTGCTTTTGTCATGTCTTCCTTCAGGTGCATCTTCACTGAATTGGAATACCAAAAGAGGATGCTGTTCATTGAGCTACCCGACTTCACAGGGGCAGAGTATAAGCCAAAATGACAGTTTTTAGGCAAACACCAGTTAATGGCTTAGTGAAACACAGTGGTAATTGTATAAAACTGCCTGTGACAGAAGGGAGCTGGTAGTCTGCAGCCTTTCCTTGCGTTTTGAACAACAGAACTGAGAAAGTAATACATTGCAAGTGATATCATACTTTGTTTTCCTTAGCAGCCTCAGTTTTTTTGGTTTTTAATTTCCTCTGGTCATGAGGAACTTCAAAGAATCTCCCTAGGAACATGTATTGCCTGTAGGCCATGAATTAGAAACTACTAGGATATACCACTTAATATTCTCTGTGCTTACACTTCATAGTACCATGAAGCACAATTGTGTGTTTTTAACCACCAAAATCTGCCCAAATGGGATCCATGTAGACACAGACTGGATGAGCTCACCTCATTTGATTCATGTCCTAATGCCTTCACTGCTCTTCTGTATTACAGGAATGAGGCTGCCCCTTGCAAGAAACTTGGTTGTCTGCCAGTCAAACTCCACATACTAAGGACTGGCTTTCTTTAAATTAATGATCATGCATAATAGAATCAGTATTAATTATCATTTTTTTCACTGAATACTAGCAGATTCTGCTAATGAACCTCTGTGCTGCCTTCTCCTTTGTAGATAACCATGTCCAGCAGCTCCAGTCAGCATACACCACTTCTCATCAGTTCCAGCAAATGTCTAAGGACTTTCAGGCCTGGCTAAGCAAAAAGAAAGAAGAGCTGAACCAGGCTCGTCCTGTGTCAGCCAAACTTGATGCCTTGCAATCACTAATTGAAGAACAGAAAGATTTTAAGAAGACAATGACCGATCAGATTAGTTCATATGAAAGAATTGTTGCAGAAGGAGAAAGTATCTTACAGAAGACTCAAGGAGATGACAAAGCAGAGTTACAATCCCAAATTGCAACACTCAAGAATAACTGGGATGAAATGAATAAACAGGTAAAAGAAAGGGAAGATAAATTAGCGGATTGTCTGGAGAAAGCCCTCAAATATAAGCAGCATGTAGAAAATCTGCAGCCATGGATAGAGAAGTGCCAAAGCAACCTGTGTGAATTAAAAGTTGGCATAAACCCTGTTGAAATAGAGGATTCTATTGTTCAGGTGAGGGCATGGCAGAAAGAACTGGATAAACACCACGGGATAGTGGAACTATTAAATAATTCTGCTGAAAGTTTGCTCAATGCAAGTCAAACAGATAAAGAAATTGTTCAAGAAGAAACTAAGGTGCTTAATCAGAATGTGAAAGTGGTTACAGAGCAGTTACATAAGAAGAGAGAGTGCTTGGAAAATATGGCACAGAGACTGAAAGAGTTTCAGGACTCATCCAGGGAAACAGAAAGACAGCTTAAAAGTGCCAAAGAACATCTGGAAGCTCATGATTCACTTGGACCTCAGTCATTCAGTAACAAACACCTGACAATGATGCAGGCCCAGCAGAAAGCCTTGCAGGTTTTAAAGCCTCACATTGATTTAACAAAAAAGCTTGCCCAAGACCTGGTGGTAGAAGCGTCTGATTCAGCAGGTGTTTCTGACCTCTTACTCCAAGCCGAATCTTTGGAGCAAGAATACACTGCAGTGAAGCAACAAGTTGAGGATAGATGCTCGTTCCTAGAGACCAAACTTCAGGGAATTGGCCACTTCCAAAACAGCATCCGAGAGATGTTCTCTCAGTTTGCCGAGTTTGATGATGAACTTGATAGCATGGCTCCAGTCGGGAGAGATCTCAAGTTACTGCAAGTACAGAGAGAGGACATAAAACTCTTCATGAAAAAGTTGGAGGATCTTATAATGAATAATGAAAATGCTAATAAGAACTGTAAAATTATGCTAGCCACAGAAGCTGAAGCTTCTCCTGATCTTGTTGGTATAAAGAGAGACTTGGAAGCTCTAAATAAACAGTGCAACAAGCTACTAGACAGAGCAAAAGCCAGGGAAGATCAAGTGGAGGGTACTATTTGCCGTGTTGAGGAGTTTTACAGTAAGCTAAAAGAATTTTCCACTCTGCTTGGGAGAGCTGAAGAACATGAAGAGTCACAAGGTCCTGTTGGAATGGAAACAGAGGCTATTAATCTGCAGCTGAATACATTCAAGGTAGGAAGATTGCTTTCTTCTTATTATAAAGTATTTTATCACAGTACCATTTTATTAAACATCATAGTGAAAGGGACTGGTTAAGTGCAGACCTTAGAGAAGTCTTGTTTCACAGCAATCTGTTCTGCCTGTATGCATTTTATCTGTTTTAAATGGGGAGCTTATGTTCCTTTGCTGCAGCTTGGCAGACACTGGGATTTTTGCATCTCAGCTCCCGGTTTCTGCACCCCAATTTCCTCTTCATCTCTCTTCACTATCTTGTTACCTTCTATAATCCATCTCCCTTTCTGTTTCTGAGAAACTGCATATTGTCTCTATTTGATGTCCATGTATTGCACAACTCTCATCTTCACAGTGGTGTGAATTTTAGGCTCCAGTGCTCATATAGCAGACTATATTCACTTTGCTCATCTGAGTATTTTAGGGTTTTTTTCACCTGGGTATAGGTTTCAGCTTATTTAGGTTTAAGCTGTTACCTTTTGCCATTTTCTGTTCTGATACACTGGCCAGTTTTCTCTCACTGAGTTCCACCCTTATGTAGAAACATCCTAATAAAAAGAAAACAGGCAAAATAACACCCCTGTTATATTGAGATTTTTCTGTAGCATCCTTATCCAAATGCACTTCAGAGCTTTTGTGTGTACCTTTTCTAATATGTCAGCTAGCAATCCATGTCCAGCTCAAAAAAAAAATGCATTGCAGTGATGGTGAGTGTTAATTGAGCTTTGCTACTGAAATAAGTACAGATACTTGCTTGACTTGGGTTACAAGAAATGAATTTCCAGTGCTCACCAGAACGATTTATAGATGTAAGCAGCTTTGAAAAAGATCATAAATCTCCTAATGGCTATATAGTAGCACTGAATATTCTGCACTGCTTTGGTTTCTTTCCAATATAATATTGATTCAAATGTTTGTATGACTTGTACATTAGTTGACACTTAATGATAAAGCCAAACCTTCACTGGAGGATTTGATAAGCCATACTGTTAAAAATTTGATGACCTTGGAAAAGAGTCATTACATGGCTGGCCCAACAGAGGGTGTATTTTGCTTGTTTAAGCCATATTGGAAAGGAAAATTAAACCAGAAAACTTTCATCTGGGAATTTCAAATGGAGGTTACTGTGAGTTTTGATGATCTTTGAGACTATATAAATAGAGACAAAAATCTTGAACAAATACTTATATTATGAGGAGATTGCATTAGGCTGGGAGGATTAAAATTGTATGCCAGTCTATCCTAACAAGTCTATCTCAATTTAAAAGAGAAACAAATGGCTTTTCTTTGTATATGGTTAGTAAAACACTTTGGATATTGGAAGATAGCAACAGCTCCTGCTCTGAACGCTCTTGCTTACACTGGCTGTACAGGACTTCAGTTGTGGCCAGTTTGGGATCTCTGATTTCACCATATTTCTTTCATTTTCAAACATTGTGTGCAGCTTCAGGTTTTTCTTAATACGTATTTTATACAATGAATTGTATATGTACAAATATGTATTTTGTTGTAAAGAAAAATGTTTCTGCAGTGCTAGAACCTGGTGAGTGGATGGTAGGAAAATCCAGTTCCCTGTGTGTTGTCCCAGTGTTGTAGTTCATCAGGACATTGGACACAACACAGTAATTGAGCAGTTTGGGAGTGAGAGACCTATTCAGACCAGGGGAGTGACAGCAGTCCTGAAACACAAAAGCTTATGTGGTAAGAAGACAAAAAAAACCCTGGAGAGACATAAAGGAGAACAGTGATAGCAGCATGTTTATATCCAGAAGTCTACTCTGGGATTGTATTTATATTAGATATTTATAAGCTTAGAAATGTGTTTTGCTTGAAGCAACTATTTTAGGCCATGCTTTTGCTTATGATTAAAAACACGAAGCCATTAAACAGGAGGTGAAGAATGATGAAAAAGCCAAGGGGTTGTTTAAATAAGTGAAAAGCAAATGCAGAAATGAAACAGCAGAGTGAGGAGCTTTCGAAGAAAGGAAACAGGGAGACCAGAATGGGAAATTTTACTAAGTGAGAGTGTAGATAGTGAAGGGATACTGATAGCAGGAGGATAGGGATCAACCCTCCTAATGCTTGTTGTCAGTGCTACTGGAGCATATCAAAATTACAGTAAGTAATCTATCTGTTTATACTCTTTGCCCTTCCAGAGAGCAGTTCTACCTGAGGCAGCAAACTGCAGGGAGACTGGATCCCACAGATCCTGCTCCACTCGTGGTGTGTTTGTGTTTGCTCACATGTTTGTGCACGTACACAAACACATAAACCTGAAAATGTGGCTGTGGCCACAAAACCACTGTCTGGCTCCTTATGTCTTTAGCTTCTGTGGTCAGCTACAGTCAGCTTCAGTTCCTCAAGAGTAAAGCACAATTGTTCTTTGGTATAGGTCTATTAACATGAAATCTCCACTCTCTTCAGGGAAGGATCTCATGTAATGGGCCAGAGGTGGTTTTTGTGGTTTAACCAATTTTTATGTACAAAGAGTTAGAGCTGCATGCATCTTCTTGGCATGACATTAAAATACATAATGTTTTTAAAAAAATAAACTGGCTTTGAATTGTGTTTTATATATATATAAAAAATGCATATGCATACTTGTTTTATTTATATTTCTTCTTTGTAATGTACTTATTCCAGGCAGTACAGAGTGTTAAATTGAAAGTAGTTGCTGTCAGTGTTAAATTGTAAGTAGTTGCCGTCGGTGTTAAACTATATTTATTTACAATGCTGTTAAAAAATTTACTTTTTGTAAATAAAAATCTCCAGAGCAGTTCATTTCAAAGTAGAACCATGACTCTTACTTCACTTCAGGAAGAGTATAATCAGATGAAGAATTTATCTCAATTAATATAAAACACACAAAAAAAAATTACTAATGAACTTGGCTCTGTAAGACACTTTTTACCCCAAAGTCTGTATGCAATGTGTAGATTAGTCCTGAAAGGAAATTTCAGTAAATTGGGTTTGTTAAGGTACACTGAGTCTGCCACCATTCTTCAAAAGCAAAACAAAAAAGAATTGTGCAAATGGACTGAAACAAACACTCTGGGTTTGAGTAGCTACACAGTGCTAGAATGTTTGCAGTTGGAGAAGCATTTACAGCTGGTTTCCCTCTGAAATAGAGAAAGAACCCAAAGTTGAATTATTTTACTTTTTAAAACTCTTCCACAGTTCTTTGTACTGTCATTCTTAGTAAAACCAACGTGTCACTGTTACAGCTTTCATGAGCATGTGGTTAATTTGATTTTTGCTTTTATTTTTGGATTAAAAGTAGATATAGTCATTAGAGGTTGCCTTCTAATTGGTCTTTAGGGGAATTTTTAGGTAGCCTGAGTATTTCTGCCAATGAGCTTGAACTAAGATTTTAATTGGCTTATGTTATAGAACCACAGAATTGTTTAGGTTGGAAAAGACCTTTAAGAACATAGAGTCCAATGTTAACTCAGCACTGCCAAGTCCACCATCAACTGTGTCCCTAAATGCCACATCTACATGTCTTGTTAGTTATGTTAGTGAGTAGGGTGTCAGTCTTCTGATTTTTGCTTTGGAGGCAAATAATGTTGAAAGCATAATCAGAAGTTTCTCTTTAAGTTTCTCTTTGAGTTAAGTGTTACATATCCCATGTGCTGTTTACAAACCCTGGAATAGGATACTAAAATCTTCTATAGGATTTACTACAGTTAAGGTCTGCATTGAAAAGCAAAGGTAATATAAGCAAGTATTAAAATTTTTTTAAGACTTGTGTTTTGAAAGTGACTTATCTATCATACAAAAGTCTGGCAGAAACAATGAAAAATGGTAAACTGTTTTTTAGCAGTTAAAATAATTTTGCTGTTGAACAAATACAGACCAATTTCAGCTATACACTCCCCCTATAAAATCATGCATCATTTTCTGAATTCAGCAGAGATCTAAGTGGTTTTGGTTATTTTGGGTGAAAATAACCATGGACGATAGGACCCTTCATCAAAAGCATCTAAAAATCTTTTTGCATCTTTACAATTATAGTATATTCTCTGCTAGAGAATCCAGAGGTGATTATCTGTTTGGCAAAATCCAAATGCTATATGGCTGCTCACCAGAGAGGAGGAAGAGAGAATTTGTTTTGCATGACCTTAGTGTTTTGATATGTATCTGACTGTTTATTAAGTAAATCAATAGACATGAAGTGTGGTATGTTTGTATTTCTTGCATACAGTGTATCCTGCTTGCTGCTTAATGGAGAAAGCTCAAGCTGATTGTAGTGAATGCACTGTGTTAAGTTTCAGCACGACGTGCCTTATGCTGTCCTAAACTGAGATTTGAATTGTCCCTATTAACTGATGGCTGCTGTCACACCAGCAGCTCAGGTCATTTGGGGTTTGGCTTCTACTGGAGTGCAGCTGCTTGGTCATGGCAGCTCCTCCTGTGTTGCTGGCAGGTTACTGGTAAGTTTCCCAAAAGATGCCGATTTCCCAAACCGGAATCTTTGTCCTGATAGGCTGGTTTGAGTTCCAATATATCCCACTTTAAAAAAGTATTTCAGAGATAGTTAGTTTTCCCCCCAGTATTTTAATATTTCTTTCAGTGGGAGCTAGGAGCTGGATTCTTCAGGAGTGGTTGCCCTGTCAGCCAGCGCCACCCTAAGCTCTTGCCTCAGGACCAGTCACCAGACTGAAAGTAGTCAAAACTGGACTGAACATCTCACTTTGCATGTCAGGTGCAGCAATGGCTGACTATCCCAACACCTAATCTAAACACTAGGCGAGTTTGGGGGAATTTGTTTTTTTAAAGTAACACAGAGGTGAACTTTCGACGTAACTTTGGAAAGGAAGCCTTCATGGAAATGCCTTCTTTATGAGACGGAGCGATGGCGTGCGGGCGCGGTTACAGTGCTGCTTCCTTCCCGCAGTTTGTCCCGGGAAAGCTCCGGCCAGCGGCGGGAGCGGGGCCGGCCGCTCTCCCGGCGCTCCGGGCGGGCTGGGGCGGAGCGATGTCACGGCCGGGCGGGCGGCGAAGCCTCCCCGCCGCCTGCCCTCGCCAGCCCCCTGCGCGGCACCGGGCGAGGAGCGAAGGCGCGGGCGGCTGAGGAGATAAGGAGGCGGCGGGGAGGGCCGGAGGGAGGGGAGCCCCGGGGGAGCCCCCGGAGCGGCGCTGGGGGCGCGGGCGGGCGGGGACAGATGTTTGTGCGGAGCGGAGCGGGGCGTGCCTGGCGGCCGGAGCGGGCGAGGCGGGCGGGACGCGCCGGCGCTGCACGGCGGGGGTTTCCCTCTTGCCTCCCTCGGCTCCTCAGCAGCTGCGCCTCAGAGATGAGCAGGATGAGCTGAGGGCAGCCCGCTAGCTGCAGCTCACGGTCGGGACCTGCCGAACGTAAACCTGCCGTGCCTTCGGGGAACGCACCACGCTAGCTCGGCTCTGCAGATGCCTTAAAGAGCTCTCCAGGACGGCACCGGGAGAATCGGTCTGGAACACTCGTCTTCCGACGGTCTGCTCGAAGGACGCGTTGGCTTGGCTGCGAGAAAGTGATGTTTTCCTGTGGGACTTGTGGAGGCACCACGAACAAGCCTGTTACAAGAGGAGGATAAGCTGCCTTTCAGATCAAGGTTATTTATAGCTACTGCCAAAAAAGTAAAGGGCTGTTTTATTATTCTTACTGTTCTGGATTTAACTTATTTCCCCCCACCCCCCAGGATTTTCTCCGTGCCTTGGTCAGGACCATACAAGCCACTGTGGATTCTGTCTTTTTAAGCTGCCACACCATGTTTTATTTATAAAGGAGATGGGACCCTGCAAGCCAGCTAAATGGATTACAGTTAAGCAGTCATGTACAGAAGATAATGTACTGCCTTCTCTAACACTTGTTCATTTGAAGGCTTATTTGGGAGATTTCAGATACAGATTCTGACCTGGAAAAATAAATGAAGCCTTCCACTGAATGTTTGACGTATTTGGCTACTGCTGGTTTCTGCTATAATTTGTTTTTGTGTGACATTGGGACATTTCTGTTATTTTCTTACTGAAGCACTTTATATTTTGGGGGGGTGGGAAACCTCATATCCAGGTAAAGTCAAATTTAAACGGATGCACTGATTATGAATGACCTCAGCCACTTCATATCTTATGATGTATATTTTTGTATCTATGCATCTTATGCTAAGGGCAAGTTTACTGTTTCTTCAGATTGCTAGTGGTTTTTAAATGTTTGCCCTGAATCTGTGAAAACGGAGGTATACCTGTGTGAACACTTTCAACATGGGGAAGCCACTTAGCAGGCCAGACTGTCTGCGTCAGAATCCTTCATGTGTTGGCAAAGGGGAAGAAGATGAAGATCTAAATATTGAAGACTGCTACGTTCCCCAGAGGTCTATCTATGACACTGTGCGGCTGAATGAACAGATTGATTCAGGCTCCAAGGGCAGCCTCTCTTCGAGGCATTTCACAGACCGGACCTTACCCTACAGTCACAGAACACTGGACATCAGTACTTTGTGCTCCAATGGTGCCCTTACTTCTTCCAGTGTTTTTGAGCTCCGAAGCCGTGAAGCTAACAAGTTAGATGAAAAAATGATCTTTGATGCTCTTAAACTGAACAGTGATATAATTCGGACAGCTGGGTTACCCAAAGCAAAGTCTCACACCGAAAAGAAGGAACACAGACGATCCTGGAGAATGCTTGTGCCACCCAGCTTTCCAGATTACACTAATAGAAGTGAAAGCTCCTTTAATGAAACTGCTGATCTGTCAGAGGCAGCTAGACTAGGCAAATGCAAATGGGGTACGAATTCTCTTACCTCGGAAGAGGATGATTCTGGTTTGTGCAGCCCTCCAACAGAAAGGGAAGATAAACAAGACACCACCTTAGCAGAGGAGCAAACTCAAACACGAAGTCTGTCTTCTGCAGAAGATATCCATGTAGTAGGTCAGTTCAGACCGTATATCCCAGCAATTTGCAGAGAGCAGCAAGCCCCACTGCTTGCAAGCATGAGTGTCCCTGTCAATGAAAACTGCAGACTGGCTTTGCATGACATTTTACCCTCTGGAAAAGTAAAACAAAACAATGCCCAGACTCCTGAGAGTGATCAGGAAGAGATGGAGGGGAAATACTCTCACTTACATGGTTTCAAAGAGAAAATTCTGTCACATGAAGATCCTCTTGAAGGCGATGGAAGAAGTATGGATAAAAATGAAGTGGAAAATACATATGAAGTTTATGAAGAAACTAAAATACAAGTCACAACAGTAGAGGAGGATTATGTGGATGATGTAGTTCCTCATGTAGATGTTTGTTACACTAATGCTGCTGTAAAAACTAGTGACTTGGATTTTGCAAAATATGAAATTTTATCTGATACAGAGGAATGCAGTGTGGTATGTACAGGCTCAAATGAAATGGCATTTTCTGTTCAACAGCTTGAATTAGATAGTACTGTAAACTGCCCAAAAGTTTTCCCAGAGAGAAATAAAGGCAGTATCTGGACTACTGGCATCCAAGACACCTTGGATACAGTCTGCAATGGCCTCTTGTCCAACAAGGTAATTAGAAAAAGAATAATAATCCGTAGATTTGTGAAATAATTGTAATATAACCGTAAATATATTTGTTTAAAACTCTTAAGTTTTGCTATTATTGCAAAAACGTAACTTTTAAAAAAATTAAAAATTAGGCAGATGCAGTGATCTGGGTCATTGGCATAGCACACGTGGGGCGTCCAAAATAGGTGAAATAGTATTTCTGACTGGGAAATGAACTGGGGGCAAAGTCTGAGGGGAGTGATTGTTACTCCAGCTGTTTCGAGCAGGGCTGTTATTGCCCAGCTGGTGCCTGTTATCCCGACGTGGAATGCATGTCTGCTCTGTGCTGGGTGAGGCAGTGCCATTCGAGGGCAGCTCCGGCCCCAGTGTTCACCCTGAGCAGCCTTACTCATCAAGGTGCAAGCAACAGTATCAGATGCTTGTGGTTTCCAAAGCAGGCAGATTAAAGGCTCACCGCCTCTTCTGAAAGCTGCCTTTTGCGTTTGCATGCCAGAAAGCAGATCTGACATTACGGTAGTATTTTACAAGCACGGGATCTTGCAGTGCTTTGTGAGTGGTGGATGAGGTAAGAGAGTAAGGGAAGCTTTGTAATAAGGAAAGGGTGTTTGTCGGGTCTGTAATTTTTTTCTTCCCACTCTGGTTGAAATCTGAGATACTTCAAGCTTTGTTGCTAAGTTTTTCTGGTAAACTTTGGCCTCAGCAATAATTGTAATTTATTTTAAGCTTCTCTCCACAAAGAGTGTGTGCATTTTTAAAGGGCAGATTATGGAGATCAGTTGCCTCTGTGGTAGGACGCTGTTCTCAAAAGATGTGACTTTATTGCACATAAAAGAAGAATTTGTTATTGATTCTGTGTTGAAATATTATTCTGCCTCCTCCTTACCCTACAGTCAAGAAAAACACAAGCATTTTCCTTCTTCTAGGAGCAGCCAACTCATTGCACTCTCAGTTTTCATGTAACTGGAGTCTTAGAGTTTTTAGGGGTTTTTTTCTCTGTAGGAACAAATCTCTTAGGGATGCTGCATTTATTTTACTCCTCATGTTTAGTGTATTTGCTGTAGCTTCTAGATTAACTTGTCAAGCTGGTGGAAGTGTGCTCAGCCACCTGAGGTCTGCAGCTTTAAAAGCAATCACTTGCCACTGCGTGTTTGGTGCAAAAGAGGAGAGTTGCTGGTACATTCAGAGCGATCTCTGCTTTTCAGGATGCTGAGAAAGGTTGCTTTGAATGCACTAAGTGTACACCAAAACTGTTACTGAATGCTGCTATAGAAATTGAAGGATTTAGGGTCAAAAGTTGAGCATTCTTTAGCATTGTTTATTCATTGGTTATTTTTCACAGGCCTGTGTAATTAATTCAGGGGCTTCAGGCCATTTTCTGATCTCACTGACACTTGTGTCAGTGCAGCTTAATGCTGCTGAATACAAATGGAGATTTACATTGCTGTTGCTAATGGTAATAATCTGGCTCTGAAAAGGCCTAAATACCTGCAAGAGTAAAGTAAAGCAAACACAAAATTGCTCAAACTGCTGTTGGGCACTGTCAAAGCCTTGGCAATTTGCAAGAATATCCTTTGAATGAAAACCGATTTTCCTGAGTGTCTGCCGGGATACTGTTTCAACAGCATCTGTCGTGCCCCTCCTCACTTGTTACCCTTATAATCTAGACCGATCTTAAAGTATCTCTTCCTTCACTGTTTCTTTGATTTAAAACTTTGGCCTTGGTCCTAGTTTGGAAAAAATGTCCACTTGTCTCTCTTGGTCTGTGCCATTTTTTTGTTGGATTTTATAGATAGATAATTAAACAGATGAGTCTCTATCAGAAGTTTCCTTTTTTCACCCCACAAAACTTCCACTGCCTCTCTTTTTCTCTGTCCCTTTCCTTCCTATCTAAAACTACTCATGGAAATGTATGCCATTTCCCCTTCTATGATGTACTGAATTTGCTCTGTTTAGATTGAGTCTATTCTGTTTAGATTTATTAATGCTTTTTTAGGAAGGTCCTGACAAGGAATGGCTTCCTTTCTTCTAGACACCAGTTTTAAGCAATGTTTTTGTTACGTACTGTCATGTAAACACCCGATGCATTTTATGACAGAAGTTACCATGTTTAATGTCTGTCTTGCGTTTCAACTGCAGGTATTCCAGAAAGAAGAAATTGAACCCTTACAAGTAAAGCAACAGGAAGTAAATTGGTTGGGTCAGGGCCTTATTCAGAGTGCTGCTAAAAGTACCAACACAGAAAACCTTGAACATGACCTTGAAGATGTCAACAGCCGATGGAAGACTCTTAATAAGAAGGTTATTATCTTGTGTACTATACTACTTTTATTGTGTTCTATCTTTTGATTATTTGCTTGCTGATGTCTTTAAAATACAGGAAATTAAATATTCACTTAGAATATGAATTGTATTTGCTTTACACAGTTACTTTGTTTGTAATTCTAAGGGTAAGATTTATATTGCTAATAGCCAGAGGTGTTGCTGTCATTTATAAGGTTTTGCCAAACTTTCTCTAGGTCTGTCCTGGATTTTTATTCAGGAAAGACTCACAGAATCATGAAATGGTTGGGATTGGAAAGGGTCCCTGGAGATCCAGTCCCACTTTCAGTCATTGTTTGCATGTTTTTTTACTTAGTTGTATTTGCTCATGTACACTGTTGTACCTGCACAGTGCACAGAGCAATGATACAGCCCAGCTTTGTGTGACTGGTGAAATGTTTCCTTTACAGCACCTTAAGGATTGTACTGCTTGAGGCATCAGAAAGTACCACTGCTTTGAAAAACTGGCTGCAGATGTTTTTCTGTACTTTTCAAAAGTCTTCCTTCAGCAGGAGCTGCTGTTGGAAAATGGAAAGGGTGGGAAATAAAATGGTGCTCATCTTCTTCTGCTTTCTTCCTGGAAGAGTGATACAGCAGAACCAGAGACACCTGGGGTTCACATATTTGCCTTCTCCTTTCCTATTTTTATTTCTCATTGATGGCATTATTGAGCCTTATTAACAGCTGCTACTTTGAAATCCTGGCTCATTCTTTCTATAAGGAAAATAAAGACCATCAGAAATGCAAACATCCTGTCGGTATATTTCATAATACTGTAGCTATATAATGCTGGAGTAACTTGTAAAGAATTACTAGAGCGGGCTGATTTACTGGGAGTCAGTCTGTTCTTCTCATTGAATGTCTCCAACCCCAAGAGATTCATGCTAAATTGTGACATAGTGCTGTTAGGAATAGTTATAAAACCAAGAGTATTTATTAGTGATATTGACAGATGTTCTATAGGTTTTGACTAATTATTTCACAGAAATAAAATGAATGGGTGAAATCCTCTACTGTTTTTTCAGGTTGCCCAGCGTGCTGCACAATTGCAGGAAGCTCTCCTCCACTGTGGGAGATTTCAGGATGCCCTTGAATCTCTGCTTAGCTGGCTCATTGATACAGAAGATCTTGTGGCTAATCAGAAACCACCATCTGCTGAATTCAAAGTTGTTAAGGCCCAAATACAAGAACAGAAGGTAAATGAAATAGTTTTAGAATCTCTCTCCTTCCACTGGATCAATGAGAATAAATTCCCAGTCCTTGGCAAAGCATTATATCTGCTCAAGTGTATTATATTGCACTGGGGTGTGCTGAGGTGTTTAAAGGAGCCATCTGTTCAAAACTCAACTTTGTCCAGGATTGGGTGAAGTGCTCATCTTCTTAGATATGAGACAGAGTGATACTGTACAATCTGACCTCTGGTTAGAATTATTAACATTATATAGAAAGGATGTTAAAAATCCATTGGAAAAAGAGAAAGCATAAAATCCAGTCTTTAGCCATTTGAAAGGTAGGAAATAAAACCTAGTAAATTTTCACTCTAGTACTACCAAGATAAGGTTGCAGATTATGGACTTAAATACTTGGCTCTTGATCTTCATGTATTTGTTGTTGGTAATTAGTTGGCATCCTATTGGGAAGTGGCCTGTGCTAATGTAGAAACTCTATCAGTGTCATCAACTTGGGCATATTTTAATAGTGGTTATAGAAAAAAGAATGATAATGTAGCTGATAAAACATATGATTCGTGCAGTTGGACTCTGTGGCCCACTGCCACTAAAGTTATAAAGTTATGGCCAGTACAGGTTGTTGTCTTGGGATACCTGTGGTGGCAAAATGTTAACGTTACCAAAGGCACCTAGGGAATGGAGGAAGGGAGGATTGTAGACAGGGGCACATTTTATTCTTCACAGAGAAGTTAATGTACTACACTAGATTGGTCAACTCAGTTGAATCTCATATAAGTGATGAGTCGATTATACAATAATTTTAATATCTATTTTACGTCTCTCTTTGTATCCAAATTACCTCTGTGATGCCAGATCTGGAAGGGCATGCAGTTTTCCCATGATGTTCCTATAAAATGTAACTTAATTCTAAATAGCTGTATTCCCTATGTATTCCTCTATGTATTCACTTTTTGGGCTGCCACACATCCATACTCAGAGAAACCAGGGTTGTTGTTTGGGCTTCATGAAACTCTAGTGTTTTTAAGAAAACAATTGAGAAACTAAAAGGAGCCTGTGTTGGTCAGTGAAGGGGTTGATGTGTGTGTTACATGTGTCTCTTTGATTAGCTTTGTTCACATTTTTATCACAATATAAGCATTGTGCTTTAGTTTTTGGGGTTTTTCTTGTTTTAATGGATTTTCAAGAAGTCTACTGTTGTCACATTTGCATTATTGTATTATTTCTTAATAACCTGGTGCTTGATTGCTTTCTCTGTAGCTTCTCCAGAGGCTGCTGGATGACCGCAAGCCCACTGTGGAGGCAATCAAGCGGGAAGGGGAGAAAATTGCGGAGTCAGCAGAGCCTGCTGACAGAGTGAAAATCCTCAAACAGTTGAGTTTCCTGGATAGTCGATGGGATGCCTTGCTCAGTAAAGCTGAAACAAGGTACTTGACATTCTTCAATGGATTTGAAAAATGTGGACATAGCATGTGATAGATGTTTAGCATGTGGAACTCTACTGTGAAGTACTGTCATGCTTTCAATTCCATTATGTCTTGGTGTCTTGATGTTGATATAATGGGTCCTCTGAGGGAAAAGTGGAGAAAAGTGACCTGAAGACCAAAAGCTCTTTAAAAAATGTTTAGTCTAATGTGATAATCTGCTAGGATTAACTGCATATGTATCTTCTGAATATTTTTTCTCTGTTAATTAATTAAAATGCAAGTGTTTGAGGCAAGAACCTCTTTTGCCTCAATAGAATAGAAACAATAGAATCAAATGCAAATTTTACACCTAACAAATAATAACGATGTTCTATTGGAACTTCAAACTCTTGAATTGCTGCTACAA